TCTCGGACGTGTCTAGCCATCTGAGAAGTCCCCCATCTCTCCGGAGTTTCAGAAACCATCTCGGATCCGTGGTTTCCTACGGGCATCCCGTCGCGGGGCAGTTATTTGGAAAACCTGCGGTCTCGCGGGTTTCCCAAAGTTTCATATGTATATCCATATCGATCACAAAGAATTTTCTTTCTGTATTTTGTCGGGAGAAGCCATAACTCGACCCGACTCACAGAATACTCCGCTCCGACTACCTCCGTTCCTGAACCTGAACTATACGCTGATGACTGATGACAATTACTCCGACCTCAAAATCGGGGAGGGAGTTTATTAATCGGATCATTCGGGTCATGGTCAGAAGTATTCATTCTGATCTCTCTCATCATCTCGATTCCACTAACAATAAGCATTTCCAGGTTTATCAGGTTCTGCCAGAAGATCCAGAACATTTGGGTTTGAACGCTCGTGGACCCCCGTCGCGGTTTGCGATTCACGCCGATATCAGACCTCACCATCATGTATATCCCGACGTCCTTATTGGAGGCTATTCGATCATGTTTACTCCCGCACAGGTATACCTTGTCCGAGGCTTCTTGAACTCCCTCGTCGTTTCTATCGACTTACACGGCCTTCGGAATGAGACCCTCTTCAATGATTCCGACTTGAGAGCGCTCGAGAGCCCAATGAGCGTCGCCTTAAATAGCTGCGCCTAGAGTTTGGCCGCAAGCCGTTCAGTAACCCCCGAGTCGCTCTACCGGGCGCTCCATTGAGACTCCAGAGTCGAGAGTGCGTTCGCCTGTTCCATTGAGCGCACTGGATCAACAATTTTTCTCCCGCTTTGACCACAGCAGCGGCGGAAGAGGGTACCGTGACCGCCTTTGGTCCCTCGTGCAATCCCGTATACACTAATCTTTTGACGTGAAAAGGTCTCTAATTTCACTCAGGGGGTAAAATCAATGTATTTCGTCCTCCGTGCAAATTTGAGGCACTTTGCGACCTGATTACTCGTGTTGTTCAGAACGGATCCAATTGTTGAATGCACCGATGGGAAGGGGATTTACGGAGATGTTTTCCATTCAATTTCCATGGTTATGCCTGGCGGTTTCGAAGGTTTCCGGAACCGATTCTGGGTGCAAATGGCATACTCCCGGATGGTGTATATACACAGGATTTCCTCTGGGAATATTGAGTTTGCGCGATATATTTGAGAAGAGTAGCGAATATTCAGATGGGCTCGACCGGCGGAATACAAGTTTCTGGGCTGGACCAGTCGATCGAGGGGACAAATCCCTGAGATTGATGGAGATCAGATCAAAGTCGGTATTTGAGATTATTCCGATCTCGAATTCCTATCGAGTCGCACGACTCAAAAGTGGAGGAGACTCTCTCAAGGAGCAATCAGAATCGCTCCCTTCCGAATGTACGGACAACGTGAGCTGAGCCTCCGCATAAGAGCGGTTCACAAACATTTCGCGTTCGCGAACGACGATGCTATCGGCGAGGGGCTTTTCATTGAGTCGCTTCGACCCCGATAACCCGATTTTTCAAGCCACCGATTCAGCGGAGTTCCGGAGCGGCCTCACCAATAAGCACTGAACAGTCGAATCATCTCGAATGGTCCGATACAATCGCTCCCGCTCGAATGGATAAAAATCCGACTCCGAATCACGGGCGTCTCCGACCTCTGGAGGCATCCTCATTCCACGCTGTTTCGTTTCCTCGAGAATCCGCTCAGATTCACTGTCACTGGCCAGACTCTTGAAGCTGTTCTATCCGAAATCTGTGAGACTCTGATAATCCTCCGCGTTCTGTCGAGACCTTGGGCAGAAAACTTGACTGAAGCCCCCGGTAGGTAGGGAAGCAGTTCGCGGAAATACTGAATCCCACGAAGGAAATACATATATCACACATGAGGCATACTTCCAGCGATTACTTGTTGGATCACGGAGGTCAGACGGACTCTCAGCCGAGAAGCCGAGAAGTCGAGCCCGGCTATAAAAATTTAATTGAACACTTACCTCATGTATCAAAGGCATTCGCGGGATTCGAGGTCATAATTGAATTGACGAATTTCAACGTCAATAGGATGACATCTATCTAAGAAGGGGAGTGCTGAACATGCGAGACGCCGATCGGGCTGAAACTTTAGTCGTAGAGTCCCTGAGAGAAGTTCTACCCTATGAGGTGTCCATAACCTTTCCCAGACTTCTCATATAGTCAATGCTTGAGGGCGAATTCTCGAAAATCATTTAGACACCTCCAAGGTGGCCATATGCGAATAACCTCTTAGGGTCGAACTTCCCTCGGAGCGAGGATTCTATGACCAAAGTTTCAGCCCGATCGACGAATTACTTGTTCAGCACTCCCCTTCTTAGATTTTAGATAGAATCAAGGTACACGCGATTAAAAGGAAGGCTAAAGGTATATACTCGATATCATTTCACTGCAGCTGTAGAAGGAGCTAAGTTTTCGAGGTTGGATGGGGAATAGACGTCTTCACGCAATATTATGGTAGTGGCACTCCCTGCGCGTTTTTTTTTCAAGTCTTTCATGGGGAACTCGATTTCCCAACAAGGAATGATATCGGCCGGCGCGGTCTCGGGAATCGGACCCGAGACGTACTCGACCATAGCGCACGGATGCATGCGGCGCAGGCGCTAGCCGCCCAGCCACCGCGCGGGTGAACATATTCGATCAGGAATAGAAATTACGAGACGATTGTAATCGTCTCGTGATTACGACGATTACAATCGCCGTAATTGTCAAGACGGCGGCCCTCTCCGTGCTTCAACATTATGAAGGGAAAATCTTGGAAGGAGCCGTAGCCCCCTGGTCCTTAGCCCCCAGTAACGAACGCGACTGCGTAGGATGCTCGGTTTTCTTAGCGTAAGCTCTTGTTGACTCAGATAGGTAAGCTCGAGGAGTCAAGGCTCATACTCACAAGCTGCCATACAATGCCGATATCGCTCTCCGCTTAGGGGCGGATGCCGTCGCAATGGATAGTATCGAGATACTCTGCTGTTCCTCGTCGATGGGCGATCTCGCCGATTCCCGCATTATTCCCTGATATTACCGAGACTTGTGAACTACTGGGAGGCCATCAAATCGACGAGTTATTCGAGCAGCCCAGTTCCGAAGCTAGTCGGAATTTCGATTCTTGTCGCAAGGTTCCCGCTGCCCCAAGTGACAACGAAAGGGGTCCGATCGGCGCGGTTGAGGAGAAAAGATCGAGGCTTGCGGTAGCAGGTCTGGATGATGGTATGGGAAACAACGGCTGCGCTTGGAGTAGCGGGTCCAAATGTCGAGGGGTCTGGCGTCGAAATGAGTGGCGCGACATCCAAGGATGCGATCCAGGCTCGAAGCTGACGAGTTCGAGCTGTCGCACACTGACCGCCGTTACCGTTAAGCCCTTCATCGCTGATGGTTCTTCCAGAGCAGGCTCTTTGTCAATCCTTTCCATTGATGCACGGTTCCTTGGTGACAAATCCTCTCGTTGTTCAGATTCATCCGTTGAGGGTGGCGACTGGAGACTCCTCTCCCACCCTCCTTCTATATGTTTGAGGCTGTTCCCCTGAATTTTCACTCGCGCTTCTTGCAGGCACCTGTCGCTGAGTATCTCCTCCACTTCGGGTATTCATCCTGTTCCAAGTTCTAGTCACTCGTCCTGGGGCCATAACCTGATAGAATAGAGGACCCGTAGCAAGATAGAACAAGGGAGTGCTTGATTGTAGAAAACCCAACCGTAGAAAACATCGTCAGAGCTCTCCTTTGACAGTGTGGAAGGCGATGTTGCTCAAGCGCAGTCCAAACACCCCGGATCCTTCCCGCAAGGGCAGCGCAAAAAGGCCGACACTTTCATCAATTGAACGTCATCCGCAGAATCTCGACAATCTCGAATTCGCATATCGCATCGATAGTGTCCAGGCTTGTGCTCGGTTGTAGGGTGACGTGTACCGGATCGGCGCCCCAACATGAGTTCCTCTTTCTCTTAGACAAACGTTTGAGAAGACCACCTTCCATTCAATACTTTTACTTGTCTAATAGAAACTCTGCCCGAGTGTTCCTCCGATTCTTCACGAGCGTAGTGACCGGCGCTTACAATTAGACTCGCCTTGGCGAGGTTGCGCGACAGCGGAGGGGCCGCTCCCGCCTCCGACCCTACACGCCCGTTTTCTGTGCCAGACTATTAGATGTCCAATAATCACTGACCTCAGGCGTGCCCATAGCGCGTCTGAGAATGCCAGAAACTCAGCAAAATCTCGAACTTCAATAGCTCTCATCCTCTCCCTTGAAAGAAAACGGCCGCCCTGGTCCGTTCCGAAAAATGATCGCCGAATCGACTGCCGAATCGAAGACTCAGGAATCTTAGAAGTTTCTCGACGGAGGGTGCCGACTGTAGAACGACGGCGGCAGCGGCGCGGCGTCCCGAGGGATCTGGACTCCGCGCACTGCTCCATGGGTTACCACGGTCAGTCGTCACTTGGCGCGCATCTTTCAATTCACGCGCCCTCGGAATCGTCTGCTAGGACCGGCTCCTGTCGACTCTCGATTCTCGCTCTGAAAAATACTGACTTGAGCGAGGAGAGCTCCAAGTGATCTTCAGTGCGGTAAGAAATGAGATACGGCTTCGGTCTATGCCGAAGTACTTTCCTTGGAGGAGCACATGCTATCGAATCATGGGAAGTGAGGATACCTGTCAATATATCCGTCCGTGCTTCTCGTACCCAATGTTATTACGGCTGGCAGGGCCCTACAAGTTCCGTTCGATTTCGGAATACGGAAGGAATACTTGGCATATCCATACGCTCAGGGCTGTCCGAGAGGACCGGGGGAAACTTCCGAAATCTTACGGCGCTGAGCATCGCTAGCTTGATAGGTTGTCATGGCGAGAGATTCCGTGCCGTCGCGAACCATCTAGTTCGCCGGCGCGCCGATTCCCGGACCGCTTGTTTGAAGAAACGTCCCCCCTTCAGGTTCCTACCCGAGCAATTTGATCGTTCCTGAGGTCTGCAATGTCGAAAGTGGAAGAGAGCAGTCCGAGCCAAGGGCCGGGTGATGACCAGGAGGAAGATGTCATCGGTCCACTCCCTTCGCTCGCTGCAGGAGAGCCGCCCGCCTCGAAGAAAAGGAAGATCCTCAAGTTCGAAAAGGTTACCGGCAATTCAGTCATGTGTGAAGCTCCACAGCTCGGTCGGAGAATCTCTCCAGGTGAATCAATGCTCAAGTTCTTACCTGTAGGTCTTCTTGGGGAATCTACCGAGCTCGGAGATGTTCGAAAAATCATACATGCATCGGGATACTATTTCCCATATTGTTGTTACGAAATCTGAATTCATCATAACGGCATCGGTGGACGGCATCGTCAAGTTTTGGAAGAAACTGACCTCTGGAATCGAGTTCGTCAAATTATTCCGGGCTCATCTGGGTAAGTTCTACATTCTGCTCATCAAAAGACGCATCCTATTCTGTCACAAGTTCCGCTACATTGACCGATTATTGGGGTCGACCCTGTCCAGGAAATATCCAGGAGATCGCGGCAAATTGGGACGGTTCGCTCCTCTGCACCATTTCGACCGATAAGTCGCTGAAGGTCTTCGATGTTATCAACTACGACCTAATCAACATCCTTCATTTCGATTATGTGCCTGGCCACTGTGATTGGATTCACACGAAAGGTAGGGATGATCGTCCGGAAAATAGAGAGCCCCGATTCGAGGGCATCGAGCAAAAGACTGATATCCAGTCCCGTGATTGATAAATTCTCTTTCTCAAGGCGACGCTATGCGAATGGTGGCGGTGACTGCATTGGAGACTCCGCACATCTACATATACGACGGACTGGAAACAGCAACCCCCCTCAAAGTCCTCGATACGCTCCACGCCGAGCCGGTAGTCTGTCTGAGATACAGCCCAAGCACGAATTCCGTCATTTCCATCGACAAGTCCAGTTTCATCGAGATTTGGTCCGGACCATCAACTGACTACAAGGAGCCAGGAATCTTGGAGTTCAGCTCCAAGCTGGACACGGACCTGTTCCAGTTGATGAAGGACAAAGCCGTGGCTACGAATATCGCCTTCGACAGGAATGGAAATCGTTTCGCAGTGACCGCAGCGGACCGCAAAGCACGTTCTCTTTTCCTCCTACCAGCTCGCAGCATCTCAAAGTCGATCAAATCACCTCAATGGATGAGTACTCATATCGGATCATTGCAGGTTCGCGTTTTCAATTTCCGAAATGGAAAGCTCTGGAAAAAGTTCGACGAAAGCCTGAAGACAGCGTCGGATGCCCATAACGAGAACCCATTGATGTCGAACATGGAGTTTGGTCGTCGGATGGCTATGGAAAAAGATCTGGAACGGACCGACATGTTGCGACTGTCGAATATCGTCTTTGACGACAGCGGTAATTTTCTGCTCTACCCCACGCTCCTCGGTGTCAAGGTGAGCAATTCCATCCATGAGCCTGAAGGGTGAACGTCGCAAACGCGGACGGTATCTTTCATCAGTAGGAGCAGGAAATGAAAATGCAGCGTTATGTCTCCCATAGGTTGTCAACTTGGTGACGAATAAGTGTGTGAGGATCCTCGGCAAGTGTGAATCGCTACGGCCGCTCGCTATCGCGCTCTATCAGGGTATTCCCGGTTCTAAGCAGAAATCCGTCACCGCCGAATCTCAAGCAGCCGAGAATCCGGCGCTGCAAGACGTTTGTTGCGACCCGACATTGGTTTGCAGCGCATTCAGAAAGCACAGATTTTATCTTTTCTCCAATCGCGTCCCCGGGGAAGACGAAGAAAGAGAGGTGAGGCAGCAGCATGCGAAACGCACGCAGAGTCGATATTGAATATTCACTCGCTCTCAGGGTCTCCTAGATTCATCGACCTCTCTTTTCGGTCTGATTCAAGCTGATTCTTTCCCCGGCAGATGTTCAACGAGAAACCATCCAAGGAGGACATTGTCGCTGCTACGGAAACTTCTTCGAAGTCGAACCTGGCATCGAACGCCGTCATCCACACCTCCGTTGGAGATATCCACGTCTCTTTATTCCCGCGTGAATGTCCGAAAGCCGTGGAAAACTTCGTGGTTCATTCACGTAACGGTTACTACAACGGTCATATCTTCCATCGAGTCATCAAAGGCTTCATGATCCAAACGGGAGATCCTACCGGAGTCGGCTCGGGTGGTGAATCGATCTGGGGTAGGGAGTTCGAAGATGAATTCCATCCTGATTTGAAGCACGATAAACCCTATACGTTATCTATGGCGAACGGAGGACCGAACACGAACGGTTCTCAGTTTTTTGTGACCGTGGTGCCATGTCCTTGGTTAGATAACAAACACACAGTATTCGGGAGAGTCACCAAAGGGATGGAAGTGGCTCAAAATATATCACTAGTTAAAACCCATCCGAAAACGGACAAACCGTATGACGACGTTACGATCGTTAGTATAACGATCAAATGATCATTTTCAACTCAGACGGAGGGCTGAGAGCTGCAAATCGAGTAGCGGTCTCGAACTTCTGCGCGAAGAAATTATTGTACATAAAGACATGTACATACAGAATAAAGACGGGAACTCCATGTGTGGTTCTTCATTCGATTCACAGTAAATGATCGGATGCCATACGCGAACAAGACTCGTAGTTCGTTTCGATAGCTGGGTTGCTAGCGTCGCAGGGGCCGAAAGCCGCATTGGTCCGAAGTTCCCCTCTGTGAGTTTCCTGCCGTTCCCCTCATCTGTTGTCGAGAACGATCAGGGTCCGAACTTCCGGACTCGGAGCGTAGTGGTCAAAATTGCGTGGGAATCAGGAGCTTGGAGAAAAGAAGGGCGGTCAGCCATTCGGATCGCAAGGCTGGAGTTCGAGGAACGCTTGACCATTCGAGTTCGATTTGAGGCGGTTGTCAAAATGATGAATAGAGACACCTCTGGCAGGGAAGTTCGTTCGTGGGTTTCTGGAGACCCGTTGGACATTTTGGGATACCCAGGAGCAAGCCACGGGGAGAAAGCTGTTTCACTGATGGAGGGAAACCTCAGGGGCTGGATGGACGGCGCAGCGATTCTGCGAAAGTCTTCCCGGCGGCCGCAGTCACTCATTGGTCGCCACGAAAAACGGGCAACCGTGGTCACGATCACCATGAACAGGATACGTATCTGAGAGCGAGGCGAACCCTTGGACGCGAGAGAATCATCGTGAATGATGACGATTGTCGGAGTCGACTCTTCTGATTCAGTCTCCCATCGATGACAGATAATGCGCCTCTTGTGAGCTCGAGGGTTGACTGAATTACCTCGACTCCCCCTAGTTTCGTATCTTGCCGACCACATCTGCTCTATCGAAATCGCCAACGAGGTACGATCCGCTTCCGCACGATTTCCCTATCCGTTTCTGTCGGAAGCCTCCCACAAATTAAATAGATGAGTGTGTTAGGTAGGTTCAGGTGACGAATTGTATGATCGAAATTGATTACAAACAGATAACGGAACCTTTAAGCGGACGGAATCTGATCGATTCTCGCGAGCAGTCTTCGTCGAATCAAGGCTTCCTGTCTCAGATGGCATCGAGCTTGAGAACCGCCTTGCTCGAAATTCCCGCTACCGTGAGCACTGGTTTCCCTTTAAATCCGTGCGAGCGGTTTCGTTGTCTGACTGACATAAGAGCCCTCCTTTCAACATGAAGATTCTCCTTTCCACAGCAGGGTGGTGGCGCTGCGCAACGGTGCCTGACGGTGGTAGCGCTGACAGTGGCTGTCGAATGTTTGCCGCTCGGTTCCGAATCTTCGGAAGGACTGAACATGTCTCGATTAGCTGAACAGTGATTCCAACATTGCTGTGTTCTGGACACATCCCGGAGCCAAAGGTTTACCAAAGTCTGTACATGATCACGTCGTAGAAGATGCCGACCGGATCCGTCGTGGTCACTGTTAGAGAACGTGTCGGGATCAACTTTGAAGAGCTGGCCCTTGAACTCTGTGGGAAAGAAGACTGTTGTCGACGTTCCCAGCCAAAGAAACCAAGTGCGAAAAGTTCACCGTCAAGTTGACGAGTTTGGTTTTTCGACATCTGACTGATTCGCTAATGAAACTGGAAACCGACCGAAACAACATGAACCAACTCCCCAAGGGCCTGAGCTACGTGAACGGTCGCTTGAATTTCTCCGACTTCCCTGTTTCGGGAATTGCGGAGGCTCACGGCACCCCGACCTACGTTTACTCGGAGACCGTGAGTAGAAGATCCATTGATTCATGCAGGGTCGTCCGCGTTTCGTTTCAGTACTTGAATATCGTTTTATGCTTCACAATATTTTCTGCGTGCAGTTCAATTGGATAGTCTCTCGCACTCCATCGGGGAATGTACGTGAGGCTCTGAAATTTTCGTTCCCGTTTCCCAGGTCTTGGACGATTGTCTCGCCCAGTTCCCGCTCAACCGACCGGGTGTTAGCGTGTGCTATGCTGTCAAAGCGAACAATAACCTTTCGATCTTGGAGCATTTACGCAAGAACGGAGCTTTCTTCGAAGTAGCTTCGTCTGAGGAGCTTCGGAGGGTTTCCACAGCAACTAATCAAGAGGTTCGTCTTCATCGCACGCCTGGTCTTCCCTGAGGATCTTGAGAGGCGGATCGAAAAGTCACCGAGAGTCATGCGGTCGCAATCCGTTATCTGCCCTTATTCCACAGGTGCTGAGGAACTGTGTCGCGACCGGTCCAGCGAAGTCCGTCAACTTTCTTAAGGACTGTCTCTCCAATAACGTGAGTGATTTCTGTATGCTTCGAGGCACAGGCCCCGGTCTCTCCTCGGCCGGGTCGGGAATATCGAGGCAGCGGCATGCCTCGGTGGAAAAGATTGTTTTTTAAAGTTCACGCAGTAGGTACCTAGATCCGGAATATTTATCAGGTGATAATCGCATACGGCGAATAAAATTAGAGTCGTTCTCCCGCAGGTGTTCTCAATTCACGCCGAGAGCGAGGAGGAGCTCGAGCGGATCGAGATTCTGCGGCAGAAATTCCCGGAGTCTTCCACGAAAGTGGCTCTCAGGATCAATTTTGATACGTCTGGTGAAGCAGGTCGCTCCTCTCTTCCAACCGGCGCTTCGAGTGACAAATTCGGAGTGGCCCCAGCGGAAGCACTCCGTTTGGCAGAACGATTTCACATTGAGGGCCTTCATTACCATGTCGGGTCATGCGTACTCGACGAAGAAGTAAGATTCGCGGAGGCTCCTTCGAGCGTTCTTACCAGAATCGTATGCGTCATCCGCGTGATCGCCGTCACTCAGTTCTCGTAGCCTTTTTAACGTAAACTGCCCATCGTCCGTCTTGTCGAGCGTGACTCATACTCTCTATTTACGATCGATTGAACTCCGTCCAGGTATTATACGAAGCGCGCGATCATGCCTTGGATCTCGTGGAAGAGTTTGAATCGAAAGGCTTGAATATCGCATACGTTGACGTCGGCGGCTCGTTCGGAATCCCCTACGTAGAAACTCAAGCTCCTCTCAACATACCGCTCGTCATCGACCGGATTGCGACTCCATTTCTTAATAAAGGTGAGAGGTTTCTCAGATGCGATCTGTCGTGGACTCGGACGAGAAACCTCTCCGTTTAGCCATGACGAGATTCACCTTTGGACCGGTGCGACGGAAATGTCGAGGTTTGACGCCGTGTCTGCTGGATCTTACCCCGATATTTTTCCTCAGATATCCACGTTTTCATTGAGCCCGGGAGGTCTGTGATAGCACAGAGCGGTATTCTTGTGACCCGTGTGGAGTACATCAAAAGTACGCCCTTGAAAAACTTCGCCCTGGTGGACGCCGGAATGAACGATCTCGTGAGGCCCGCACTCTATGGCAGTTTTCACAGGATCCTGACGGAGTTCGAACCCCCAATAAACCCGGAAAAGAAGAGTACCGAGATGACAATCGCCGATTCCCCTGTGTCTCCGACTTCTGACAGAGTTCTCAGAGCGTCAGAGAGTTTCCGTTTGGCGGAGAACTCGAAACCAGTGCCCAGTCCAAGACTTTCAAGGAGAGTTGATTCAATGCCACCGGACCTCCGGGGCTCCAGAGAGTCTTTCGATGACCTCTTGAACGAACTGCAAGGCAATAGACTGTTCAAGAGAACGTATGCTCCGGTGCCGAGTCCCCGGACTGTTCGCAGATCAAGCCTCGAAGGTCCCGTCAAATACGATATTGTCGGTCCGGTGTGCGAAAGCGCCGACTCCCTTGGACTTTCCCGAACTCTGCCTCGGTTGAGAATGGCGGATCTGCTGATAATCACGGATGTCGGTGCTTATGGGTACTCGATGGCGTCGAATTACAATTCGAGGAACAAACCCGCTCAGGTACGGTGATTTGGGAAGTATGCCTCCTCATTTCTTCTTTTAGCTCCCGGATTGTCGCCCGGCCGCGGTTTTGCTGTCTGAGCGGAATTTTGTCGGAATAGTCGCGGGAGTCCTAGAGGCTCTAGTCTCAGTTTCATGCGATGCCTCTCGAAGGGAGAAAGCCAAAATTATTGATAGCATGACGATGTATCGCTCTCTGCTTCCAGGTGATGATCCTCTCCAACGGGGGAGTCAAACTTATTAGCCGACGACAGATGCTAGAGGACCAATTGATGCTTGAACGCAACCTGGACAGTTTTGCTCATTCCTAAGATTTTCATGCCAAAACTGAGAATAGAATTTCCTACCAAGCTTACGAAATAGGATCTTATCGGCGCACACATACTTAGATGAGAGTTTTCATTCGGTGATTTTCAACGACCGTCTCGTTCGAATTCTCCAATGAGCCCGAAATATTTCGAGTAATACTCTTGGATTGAGAATAGCCAATGCATCGGAGCAGATATTGAAACCTCGTCCCAGCTGATAAAAATTTATTGACTCTGAGCGTGACATCACTTGAAGACATTGAATTCGCCAGATAAACGCACGTGAGGCCCCGACTGCTGAAGGAATTCCAGTCGGCGAAAGATTGAGCGACGCGACAAATTTTCGTCTCACTGAAGCAGAGCATTCGTATTTGTTTTCGAGTGCTCCCTTTTCGTTGTCCGCAAATCTAGGTCACATCGCGAGATTTGTGTCTTGCGTTGCTCTCGATGATTCTCCTTGCAGGCGTGAAGCCTGACGATCGATTCGGACACCAAACTGGATCTCAAACTCGACCTAATGTACTGCATCATTACTCGAAGTAATCTCTCTCCTCGATCTGAGAAACAATATGCATTCGGGTCCCGACTGTTGGAAAACGTTATAGCCGCTCCTTCCCGAATGAAGAACCTCCGATCTGTCTATCTCGGAACTGCGTCGATCTTCCGAGAAATCCCTCTCGTGTGCCATCTCAGCGACCACTATTCAGTGGGCAGAGTATATCGAGCGCCGGGATGGGGGCGGCTGTTCATGGGAGACGATAAGCTTCATAAATTTTCGAGGAACTATCACATCAATTAGCCATAAAATACTGGAGAAAGATCCGAAGAGATACTGATAACTGATAAGAACATGAGTAGGAAGCTCCACTATGAGTCGACCCCAGTCGACGAAAGGAGCTCTCGGCTCTACATCTTGATCGGGGATTCGTTTTCCAGAAAAAAGTTCTAGGCCGGTACTCGATCCTTTCCATTCCGAGAAGAAAACAGACGTGAATCCCTGCCCCAGGAGTCGATCGGTCGATGCCTTCCGGCATACTGCTCTGCTCATTTCCAGAGGGGAGTGAGCTCGACTTTACAAAAATCTCTGATAGAACTCTGATACTCGTTTCGCCGATGTTCGATTCTGTTCTGACTCCGGAAGGACACGAGTCCTGCGGCTCCCGTATGTAACGGGTTCTCTTCCTTCACTGCACTCTGACTCCTTGAGAGCTGGGACCGAATCCGGGAGCGAGATATTGGGAGTATACTACACCATCCGGGAGCATGAGCCTCGATCTTTGGTCAAGCGAGTCTAAGCCCGCAAGAAGGAGGATTCGTACTCTTCGACACGGGGATCCACTGACACCATTGAATTTCCGGAAACGAATTCCCTCCGAAATCCGAGGCAAAGCATCCGGAACCTGCTCCTTTCGACGCTCTCTTCGTTCATGGTCGACTGTCGGGAGAGCGTCAATCATATATACAAGGCCCCGGATCCAGTTTTTGCTACGTAATCGGTCCAGGCTTATCGAAAGAGATACTCCAGCCTGTGAAAGCCGCAAGTCGCGCCGAAACCCTACCATTGTGCGATAGAACGCACGATTTCTTTTATTGCCCAATTGAACTCTATCGATCGCTTGGGAGCTGCCGACGGACTGGAAATGAAGCACGAGATGGGAACGTCTTCAACAGAGGCTTTCGACCGCGTTGAAGAGCAGAAAGTTTGTTTCTGCCTCCGGATCGTGGTCGATCGGACCCTCTCCACCGAAGATCCTCCTTCCCCGCTCTACAGAAGCCGGTGGCTGAATTCATTTAGAGCGAAGCAACTTCGTCCTGTGACTGTGCTTTATACCGGTGTGTCCAGCAAGTGCAGCTTCGGTTCAGAATTGAACTAATCACGGGATTACTAGCTCTGATCTTGTTGGATATTGTGCTGCCATCGTGCGCGAGGATCCACTTCTCAGGGGAGCAAAAGAGTGAGTAGAAATTGGTGACCGACCGCTTTCGGGAGGACGGTAATTTGAAATGGCCCTCCGTCCTAATCGGAGCATTTTATTCACAAGCGCCTATTGGTCTAGCCTTACCTACTGTAGATGGGAGCATGGCAAGGAACCAGGGGCAACTTCTGAACGCATCTCTCTCTTTCGAGCGCGAACACAATAACGCTACCGCTCACGCAACTTCTCATGACTGCTCGACTTTGGATGCGAGATGTCAGTGAGACGACCCATGGAGCGACAGATCTGATGACCAAAATTATCCGCGTTATTACTGGGTTTCGCGGGCGTGCTCGGATTTCCGACCATTTCGTGGTTCTCGGGAAAGAATGCCATCCCATTTAATTGATGAACCTAACTACGGGCGAGACCTGTCAAGGGAACTATCGCCAACCTGCAAATCGGATATCGGGAACGGATACCCTACAATGAAGTGCCGATACCTCACAATGAGAGAGCAGCGCCTGTAATGCCGATATGATTGACTGACTGAGACGAATTTGTCGGATTCCACGCGAACGGATTAGTGGAAGAGGTCTTCCTACGTGCATCGGTGCTGCAGAAACCTCCAGGAGCGTCGAAACGGAAACTATATTTGATCCTTGGCGATTCGGTCTGCAATCCAGAATCGCTCCATCCTGGAGATTCGAGCTCCTCGAAACGGATATCAATCGGGCTGACAAGACAGTTGTCTCGATTATCTCAGGGGGTTTTCCAAGGCTGAAGGAGCGCGGACGTCGGGCCTGTGGGCTGCTTCCGAAATGAGAAAACTCGCGCCAGTCCAGCAGCTGAAAACTCCAGGTCGTTCTGGACGGGATACGAATACCCTTCAGCGATTCCGAACGGGAGTTGAGCAAGAATATTCATGCAATTAGCATCAAAGGGAGAAATTTTGGAATCGAAAAACTGAAATATTCCTGATCGTATGGGCGACGACGCGTCGTAGGAATCAGCCACGAGTCTTCCGCGGTCGGAAAGCGTCAATTTATTCGCTGGTCTTGTCTCTCGATAACTCGCATCATATGGTCCCGAAATGAGCGAAATCTTTCTCGACCATTCGTGGCGCGGCTTTTTCTCCATATCGTGGTCGAGTCCGGATCGCGGAACAGGTCGAGCTTATATCGGTGGATATGACAGTATCGAGTAGCGTTATTAAGTTTTTCCCATAATACTCGATGCTGAATGTGTATGAGTGATCGGAACTCTAGGTGTCACTGTGAGAGATCTTCCGTCGGGAAACCGACTCCGACGAATGACCCCGCCATAGAGCTATCTCCGGGCGAGATCCCTCTGAGACGACGGGCTCTCGAGAGGATGTTCGGAGAATCTCTAATTTTGAGTTGTTGTTCTGTCAGCAGCAAATTGAATGCTGCCTTCTACGTTGCTTCTGCGGCCGGCTGTTTGCCCGACTACCTAGCGAACTGCCTCCTTGTATGCCGGAGAACCCCTCGCTCTCGGAGGCATAGCTTCTTCTTATTCGTCTTCTTCGCTTTGGCCGCCGTCGTCGTCGATTTCGTTGTTGTCGTTGTCATCATCATCACCATAGTCGCTGCCGTCGTGGGTCTTCGTTCGCTCTTCTTTTCGTTTTGAGGCCCCGTCCCGTTGGCTGTACTTCTCGGTGCTTCCCTCCTCCCAGCTGCTGCTTCTGCTCTTGCTGCCGAGGCATCGAGTTTCTTAGTGTGAGCAAGGGCGGCTTCATGCGACCGAAAGCTTGACGTCGAACATAAAGTTCGGCGCCCAACTCTAGCAGGGAAGTATTCTAGTCGTAGACGTTTTCCTGATGCCTCGACCTTCCCTGCCCCTGCTGTCGCCTTCCCAGACAGCCTCGACCGCCCTTCCAAGGGCTCCATCTTATCCCACTCTGTCTCCGGACGTCGCAATCGGAAAGCAGATCGACTACTGAAGAGCGTATGCCAGAAAGCTGCAATCGAATAAAAAAACTGGGGAAGAACCAGCGCACGCGATAACAGAAACCGGTGTGCTGCCGCTTTAGGAGCCTTTCTTTCGATTCGCGACGGTTGAAATGCCGTACGATTCTTTCCCCGGTCCTCCGTCGAACGAGTTGATTCGGTACGCCGGGAACGTTTACGCTCCAGGGTGGAGCATTTCGATGTGTGAGCACGGGACACGCTCGGATATCGTCATCCACTTTTCATCAATGGCCTTCATGTCGGTAGAGAGTACCGATGTCTGTCGTTGTGGGGGACGATGCGGCTGCTGCTGCTTTGTGTTCTCGGAGATCAACAGGAAGACTGCTGCCGAGCGGGCCGACTCTGCGGACAAACGATCGGGCAGCCCGGAGTAGGAAGGCCGATCGGACCGAACAACCGACCGAGCGAGCGACCGGCGGGCGCACTTGAGATCGTGAGCTTTCTTTTTCACTGCGTGTCCTACTTCGTCCCGTGCAGCTGGCTGAACCGGTCGCTTGCTTGTTCGGCTGTTTCCGTAGAGTCGACGGACACAATGCTCTTTCCAATCGCTCTTCGCACTTAGGGAGTCTCTGCAGAAAGAAACAGCAGAAGCAGCCGAGCAGGGCGGATTAGCGCAGTTCATATTAGCACCGTTCGAGCTCCGAGTTGGGGGAGCTGGATTTCATATTGTGGTGACGGATGCTTTCATTTGAATGAATATACTCCCATGAAGAATTCCTTCAGAGCAAACTCGGCGACCGTCTGAATGTTCAGACGAATGACGAGAGCTATTCGTCGTCGACGACGAGACCCTCCGGACAGCGAATCCGACGATGAAGGGCGTTGGTGCGATAAGTAAAACCAACAACCGACTCATACGGATAGAGAGCCCCTAAAAGTGCTACCTACTTCAACCTTGTTGGAAGCAGGAGAGAAGCTTCACTCGTTGACATCTATGCCGGAACGACGCTTGTTTTATCTGCCGACCGACCAGCTGACTGACTGACTGACTAACTGGGAGCTGAGAAAGTTCTTGAGGAAACGACAAGCGACGAACAGAAGATGACAAGCTCGCTCGGCGTTTTCAAAACAGTCCTCGCCGATCATAGATTGTCGTGTTTTTTTGTTAGTGCTCGAGAGGAGGCATCACTGACATGCCAACTCGGGGTAAACCAGTGGGCCGCTTGCTCTGCTGCCGGTTCGTCTGGTCGAAAAACCGGCGGCAGTATCTCCGAGAGGCTCCGGGAAACCAGCCGGCTCGCTTGAAACAAACGAAAGAGTAGCCGAATTCTAAACAATGGATTGAGAAAAACCACGTCAGCCAGTCAAGCAGGCAGGCAGGCAGGCGGACGTTCGCTCGTTCGTCCGAGGACGAGACTCGAAACACAACTACTCGAATCGGTGCTTGGCCGCCGACGGGGCTGATTGGCAATTTTCACTTGACGAGCTCTCGGATGCATAATCCCCAGAGCTGTTGAATTTCTCGCGGTCTGGCGGAGCCACTCGTCTCCTGAGCCGGTCTACGGTGGGAATTTGAGCAGCGGAGAAGGGAGGTCGGTGCCTTAGACTAGAAAAGCACTAGTTCACAGTGTTTCCCTGGAATCGGCCGCTCACCTCGGAGTTCACTCCGTTTCTGAGAGCCAACTCCAATAATCCCGTGTCCGCCCCGTTCAGAGAAAATGTTCTCCGATGTCGAAACGGGCATTATTCGAATCGTTGGCAGATTTCCTTGGTAAGAGTATCGGAACTCTCCGCAGACAATGGACACCTTTGTCCAATAGCGCTTTTCTCAGTCGTAGATCTTCTTCTACATCGTGTATGTGGACTCGTATTCGTGGACGGACGTGGAGCGCGAACCACGACGCTGCAGCTCGTGACGACAACCCAGAGAAAGGTGTATCATCGAAAAACTCGTGGGCGACTTCGCGTCGCGTAAACTTTGTTGTGTTGAGGGAAAATAATGTCTCGAAGAGAAATGATGTTTAGCGTCCATGTCTTTCTGCTCTGAAGAACAAGACGGGGCTTTATCTCTCGCACCAGCAGAAGGTAAAGGAATTCTATCGGGTTGAGAAAATGCTTTTAGTGAACCCCGCAGAAGCATCACGAAATCTCGCTGCGCGGAACGACATTAGATACAAGATGGACCGAGGAATCTGACATATGCTCGAGCCTCATTGACTCTCCATTTCGTCGGTAGATGACGACGAACACTGAGCCGTCCGATAAAAGGCGATTCGCGGAGGAACACGCGTAGAGCAGATACATAAATCGAGAGATAACGTGTCGGTCGCATGATGGATTGTTGATAAGACGCCACCACTTCGATGCACGCCTTCGGGGTCATCGTGTTCTGGCTCGATATGCGCAGGATTATCTTTGCGACAAAACTCCCGACCGAAGCTTGGATACTGTCCCTATTTGGTTCTGTCGACGAACCGCAGGCTCACCTGTGGCACGTTTCGATCTATCCCTCGACAATGGATTCTTATCGCAAGCAGTATTTTTATGATTTTCCTTGAGATCATTCTGACCGAGTCTCTTCTGCCGAAGAAGCGCGAAATCGATGATTCGTTCAAGCGACGACGGCGACTCCGAAAAACACCGACTCGGGATTCGACTCATCCAAACGCTGCTCGCGGGGCTGCTGCTCGGGTTGAACCAGAGAGCTGGCGCCAGTCATCTCCACCCTCCGTTCTCAGAGTTTGTGAGGATTTCCGGCCGCCGAATGAGAATCAGAAGAACCCATAATGACCGGTGAGAGCGTTGCGGTTTCTCTCCCTCGGGAGGAGAGAAACGAACTGCGGGCGGTTTCCTGAATGAGAACGGCAACGATTCGGTCCTTGAAAACCTGCACGCCGACAGTGACAATTAAGGTGACAGTGAGACCTACAACATATCCCGAGTTGGCGCACGGACCGCAATAATGGGACGAATCGATCGGGGAAAAAATCCAAGTTCAATTTAAATCTGAGGGGAAGGGGGCGAGCATTCATCGAGCAGAACCTCTATTTCGATTTTTTTCCGGGGTTTCCCATCCGAATATCTCCGGGCTCCCAAGAATGAACGACCTACGAGCGAAGTTTGACGCATCTGCAGACGGACAGCAGACAGGTTTAGGATCCTGGATGTGCGAGTTGCGTGCTCTACCGGAGAGATGAGATGATGAGGGGCTTCGATGCCGCTACGCTCGGTTTTTTCGGTTAATTGTTGACGGCGACGCCGACTGACTGAGCGACCGACCCCTCGTCCCTCAGATCTCGCTCGAATGTGTCGTCGTCCGACTACGAATTTCGCCATAGACGTATCATTAAGTGGCGAGTCCTCTTCTACGAATACCGAGACAGAGGCCCGAACCCTCGCAGCTGAGTTCGGTCGCAAGCGCTTCGGCTCCCACACCGTGGAACCCCTTCCAAGTCGTCGGCAATCGAGTGTCGGGAACTGTCGTCGAAAACCCCGTCGAAGAGCATTGTCGTTCCCTGCGCGGTGTCAAAGACCGCTTTGCACGGATTCAGTCTAGCCGGCTCTAGGATTTTTGTTTGCCGAGAACCGCGGACTGAAGACCCGGTTTATGATGAATCATGCGACGAAAGGGAACTTCGGTAACAAAACTCGACTCGGAATTCTCTCATCGTTGTCGTATGACAGCCGATCAGCGAGACCGGTCAGCGTCTCTCACGCATAGTAAGATAGTCACACCACAAGCATCATTTTCTTTTCATCTTTATGGCGCGGCGGTTCTCGACGAGTCCCGACGATGTCATCGTCCTCTTACGACGTCGTCACGACAGTCGATACGAACAACAATTTTAACATGGAAAAACTGCTACACGACACAGGCGACTCTTCCCTCAGTCAGCAGCGTACCGGTAGCCGGTCGCGGCTCCTCGAGCGAGCCGACCGCTCCTCGCCTCTAATAATAAAAATATTCAGTCCGTTCCCCTCAGGGGAAGTTCGTTCATTTGTTTGTCTGCTCGTTCCTTGGTCGCTTCGTCCGTTCGTTCGATTGATTGATTGAGCACCCACCGGAGATCTGATTAAGTTCCCTTTCGTTTTCAGATGATCCTCGGTGACAGTCCTGGAAGGTGACGCGGGGAGATGAGGTTGCTCTTGTCACTGCTCTCAGGTCTCCTGACCCTGGCCAAGTCCAGGGCGGAGTACCTTCAAGAGTTCGAAATCCGAGAAAACGTGCCGCTGGGTACCGTAATAGGATACATCGGCCAACCGAAAAACGGAGCAACTCATCGTCCGCCGGCCCCTCCCTATTTCGTGGTTCCGGTAGCCAATAGCGATGTTGACTCAGATCTTGTTGTGGTGACAACGACCGGAGAAATTCGGACCAACACTACGCTGGATCGTGAGACGCGCGCCGAATATTCATTCACGGCGATCCCGAGCAAACACGGAGAAAACGTCCGAGTCATCATCAAGGTCCTCGATGAGAACGACAACCCTCCGGAGTTCCCCTCGAGCTTCATCAACATCGATTTCGCGGAAAACGCCCTCCGAGACGCGAAACGGACGCTGGCCCCTGCGCGGGATCGGGACCTCGGCCAGTTCAACACTCAATTCTACTCGATAATCTCGGGCAATACGAACAACGCCTTCAAATTGTCCTACCATCGGGAGCGGGACGAGGTCCTGTACCTCGACCTGCAGGTCAACGGCATCCTCGATCGAGAGATAACGCCGAATTTCTCGCTGGTCATCGAAGCCTACGACGGAGGAACGCCTCCCCTCAAAGGCGTTCTCCTAGTCAACATAACGATTCAAGACGTGAACGACAATCAACCGATTTTCAGTCAAGGCAACTACGTGGCGACGATCGCCGAGAACGCAACGGTCGGCACGTCGGTGCTCAGAGTTCTCGCGACCGACACCGACGAAGGTCGGAACGGCGAGGTGAGGTACTCGATAAATCGACGCCAGAGCGACCGCGAGCAGTATTTCAACATCGACCCGAAGAGCGGGGAAATCTTTGTCAACAAACCTCTGGATTTCGAAACAAAAGAAAGCCACGAGCTGGTGGTTGTCGCGAGAGACAACGGTCTACAGCCTCTGGAGACGACAACGTTCGTCTCGATAAAGATCAGCGACATTAACGATAATACGCCGACAATCAGTCTGATCTTCCTCTCGGACGACGCCTCGTCGCGAATCCGAGAAGATGCCAAAGTTGGTGACTTTGTTGGCCGCATATCTGTGAGTGACCCAGACTCGCGAGAGGAGTACGCCAACCTCATCAACGTCACTTTACATGGGGGCGATGGTCATTTCGGTCTTTACAGCAAAGACAACGTCATCTATCTAATGGTCGTGAATGTACCTCTGGATCGTGAGCGACAAGCCAACTTCACTATGACGATTATGGCGACCGATCAAGGCATACCACCCCTGAAAACATCGAAGCAGTTCACTCTTCACATAAGCGATGTCAACGATAACGCTCCCAGATTCACGCAAAGTGAATATTTCGCCAACATTCCCGAGGTGGCCGAGCCGGGCTTCTCTGTCGTTCGGATACGGGCGACCGATCGAGACGAAGGTGTCAACGCTGCCCTCCGCTACGAATTACAAAACGATATTAATGGCTGGTTCAAAATCGATCCGGTCTCGGGAATCGTAACGACCAAGAGTTTTATCGACTGCGAAACGAATCCGAGCCCGGTATTGACCGTCGTAGCTCGAGATAAAGGATCTCCGTCACTTTCGTCGACGGCCAAGTTGACTGTGACGGTTAGCGACGTGAACGACAACGAGCCGCTCTTCGACCAGAGCTATTACAATGTCACCGTCCCAGAAGACGCTCGGATCGGAGCCTGTGTTTTGAAGGTGAGTTTCCGTCCCGTCCGGCTACGGCCCACTGCTTGAAAATTCCTCTAGGTACCTAACTGAATTATTGATCAGTGAGTCACTTCCCAAATGTCTGTGGAAGGCTCATTCCTTCTTGGGATTCACCTGGGCCCCGGGGCCCGCCAGGCGGCACACCTCCCGAGGAAATCCCAGATCACAAGGTCGAGTTCTAAAATGATAAGTTTCCGTCCCGGACGTCGACCCGACCGAGGCTCGGGTATTCCGACTGCTCGCAGTCCGCAGTTTCCCGAGGATGTTCTCGCCCGAAAATTCGCGGGAAGACAGAACTGACTCGGCTTCGAAGATTTCAGATGCGAGATGGGGGGGATTCAGTATCCGTAATGATCTGGGTGGCGCAGCGCCGCGACTCCAGAGTTCTCCATGATTTTCGCAGCCTGATCCGGGTACCCGATACGTTTTTCGGCCTTCGGGCTCCTGGCGGTCTTTTCCTGTCGATCCCGATAGAGGGCTCTCTTGCACCGGGAGATGCTCGTCGATTTTATTAATTGCCTAATTCGGCCTTCCGGAAGGATATCTTCTGGCACTGTCCGAGTCATCAAGCTTTAGCTGAGGGTTCCTCTCGCTTGCTCATTCTCTCATTGTCAGAGCTTGCCCAGGAAGAATGAATCGAGCAGCCGCTGCGACCCGTTCCAAAGTCCGGTTCTTGGCTAAACAGCTCGACCTCGCGAGCAGAGGAGTTTCATCCTGGGAGTCCACCCAGAGTGAAAATATCGCTTGTGAAGAATACGGAAAGCCGACGTCGCCGATTACCGCGCCTCGAGAATGTCGACAGGAAAACCAAAGACCTCGAGCTCGACCCACAGATGGGAACGACCACTCCGATTGTTGGATCGCTTCTCCGCTTCAATTCTGACACCTAGAGGGAAACAGAGGTCAATGATTGATACATTGACTTCAGAAAACCACCCGAGGCATCCAATGCAGGCACGCAGGCCGGCTGACGGACAGAAGAGCAGACGAGTGACGACGCGACGCTCAACAGATTACACATAGCTGCAACATGTTCATCTCGCAGGAGATGATTTCAATCAAGGATCGGACTCGCAGTTGTTCTCTGATTGTATCGCGCACATCTACGTACATCTCACTGGCTCCACAAAGAATATTGATGACCTATCCCGCCCGACTCTTTACCCCTGTCATCGATTCAGATTATTTACGTACCATTCGAATCGTCTCTAACCTACTCCTGGACGTGATTCCTGAATACGTGGGGTGTGTTTACGTCGTCTTAGTCGGTGACTGAGTCGCCTGGTCTCGCCAGCCCCCATCGGCTCGGTTTGGAGAAATTAATTGATGGGCAGAGCTGAGTTCCATTGAAGCGTGCTCACGACGCCGATTGATTTACATCAGAAGTCCAGTCACGAGGCTTTTCAGACTCCACACCTCGGCGCGGATTCTCGCGAAGTGCTCCGGAGGAGTTCGCAGCCCTTCGACAGAAATATGCGTCCTCCGTACATTGTGACGCTGGCGCTCGTAACATTGCATTACTTGCGTCACGGATTATTGTCAGTCTGGCTGGTTGGTTAGTTCGTTGCTCGATTGGTTGGTTGGTTGGTCGGCCAGTTGCTTGTTGTGGAGGAATTTGAGCTGTCGGCGTCGTTTCACTGTCTGTTTTTCTCGTTGGTTGGTCGGTCGCGTCTGCTCGCTCGGGTCGCTTGCCTTCTGTCTTCGTTCCCTTCCAATGAGGACCCGTTGCTGCCGTCGGTCTTCTGTTGACTCGACTCACGAAGTTTGCTGCCGGCGACGTGGAATGGCGGGATTCTGGTGGCCGCCATCGTCGTCGCCGGCAGAGATGCCTCTCGCGGCAGCAGAAACAGAAGTTTCATGAAATGCCGAGCCGTTCGTCCGTCCCTCGGACGGACGTACGGACGGGTAGACCGTGCTGCCGAATCCTCCTCTCGTCGTCTCCGGTAGCCGCAGAAATGTGGTAGCTGTGATGGGAGCTCGTCGAGGAAACCCGGTGAACAGTCAACCGAGCCAAGCTAGTCGGTTCGACCGACCGACGGTTCGTCTGTCCGTACGTAGGTCCGGATCGCCGGACGGCGGATTGCCGTCGTCGGTCGACCCGAGTGAGCGAGCGAGCAAACAACGGTCAGCGCCTGTGGCCGTAGAGAGGATGACGTACAAGTGCTGGGTGTGTGGGCTAAAGAATAATAATTGTCGTCCGCGTAAACTATCATCGAGAATCGGCGATGCAACCACATCCAGCGGGTGCATAGGCAAAGGGTCGTGAGTGGGAAAGAGTGCCAGGACAAAGGGACAATCATGTCGAATAAAAGTCAGAATCTTCTCATTATCTGCTACATCCTCCGATTCAGAAGCACGGTCACGCGCGGCGTGATGATGGCCGGTCGAGGATCGATCTGCACTGATTCTGCTTCCTTGCTCGCTTCAACGGATTTCTCGTGATCGTCGGAACTCGGTCTCGTATGTTGTATTCTCATCCCATGTATTCGGACAGGTTCGCCGCCGCCGCATCGCAGGAATGGTCGTCGATCAGCACCGAACGAAACTATTCTGACCTCAATGTACGGAGTCGATCCTCTCGGATCTTCGCTTCGTTTGAGTGAGGCTTCTGCGGAACACACTCACAATCAGTCAGTCAGTTGGTCCGTCCGTCTGTTGGTCTGTCGATCGCTCGGGCGGTCGGTCGGTCGGTTAGTCGATCTCGGCACAGACCCGACCAGGTGTTCTCAGGCGGCATCGAAGCGACCTGCCTGAAACCTTGAATCGAATCCCAGGTTGGCTTGCGTGAATGAATCATACCGACTCGATTGACAAGCAATCGATCGAATAAAAAACAACAGGATTCAGGATGCGAATTTCGGGATATTCTCGTTGGTGCTGAAGACCGCAAGAAATGACCGCTCTGCCCTGGACCCGATGGGTGTTTGGAATGCCGGAGAAGACACAGAAATTGCGTGTATTCTAGTTACGACGGTCTGCGATCGCTTATCACGAGCGGAGATAATTCGTAAAGCGGAGTGCTCGATATAATTTGTCCGCACGGTCATCACAGCCGTACATAGATGTTCGAAATCTTGTTCCATGAATCCAGTCAGAGCTCCGGAAGGCACCCATCGCTCTTCGGGGCGCCGCAAACCCCTCGCTCGCTGTCTCTCGACAGAGGATTCCTGGCACTTTTGGCTGTACAATAAGAGCCAATATAATAAATTACCAATCTATAATTTGGGGGCAAAAGTGGAGTTTCATGAGAATCTTTCCCACAGGTCGCTGCGTCAGACCCGGACTGTGGAGTGAACGCAGTTGTGAACTTCACCCTGGGACCGACATCGTCGCCGTCCTTTAGGATCGACGCCCGGTCAGGCGAATTGTGTATCGCCGCTAAACTAGATCGTGAGGAGAGATCAACGTACGAGATACCAGTGCTGGCTACCGATAGAGGTGAGTAGTCCGATATCTGCATATCTTCGCCGTGCATTTCATCGACGAACAACCGGGTCGACAGACAGAAAAAAGGAATTCTGCATTCTGTACACCCGGAGAGATAGCGACCCTGCGTCGCTGCCCCGTGGTTTCGGAACTTCGGAGTGGAGTGACAAAGGAACTTCGTCATGTGAACGAGAAATATCCTGTGAGAAAGTCGGGGCTCCTTTCAAAAACGAACGAATGAACGATTCAAGCAACCAAGCAACGAGAGACTGGAGTTGATACAGTATGCCATTAAACCGGTAATGTGCGAAATCTCGGCTCTGATAAGCAGCCGACGTTTCGTCTGAGAATGCTAGGGCATCATTTGTCTGTAAACTGGCTTTTATTCTCTTTCCTTCTGCTCCAGCCCGCTGGCTGCTCTTGCAACGATAAAACTACCGAGCGTCATTAAACTGAGAGATGTGGAATCGCTCTTCGTTCGGTTTGAGTTTGTCTCTTCTTTTTTGAGCGAATTTTATGACTCATGACTGTATTCCGTCTCTTGTCGTCGCATGAAACGACGAGCCCGTGGGGGACACGGACCGAGGAAGAAAATGAGAGAAACACTCGAAGCTTTGATGAGAATTCATCAAAGAGCTTCCCCGAGTGAGTTGTCCCGTCCACAACAACCATCGTTAGTATCCGCGTCCAGCTCACCGTGTGTTCGTCAGGCATTGTGCCGCGAACGCGGTTGATGGTCGGTAGCGTAGAGAGCTCAAATCTCCGAGGGACAATTTTTCTACTGATAAAAATGCCGATGAAGTCCGTGTCTCGATAGAGCCGAGAGGCCCGAACGATTCCAATCGTGGTCAAAGAGCATAATACGCTTTCTGCATGCAGAAGTTGCCGCGCCAGCGAAAGAGAAAAGTGGCAACTCAATTTGCTTCCTCGCCGCCGCCGCCATCGTCGTCGTCGTAGAATGCAAAAGCCCAGATGTTGCTTTTAATGCGCTTAATTAACGGGATGGACCCGGTCTTCTTCGACAACTGAAAACCGTGCGTCAGGACGTTAATGTTTCCGTCTTGAGAAATGATTCTTGTAAACATGCGGACGCTCCCGCTAACTCACGAGCCGATAGGAACGTCGACGCAACAAGCGCATCGTCATTAGCATGAATAGCAACAAAGAATGTGGTCAGCTGTTGATACAATCTCACTCAGCCAGACTTCTGGTTTCTCGCTCGCAGGCGGTTTGAGCACGGCCACCGTTGTTAAGGTTCATGTGCTCGACATCAACGACCATCGTCCGGTTTTCAATCCTGTGGTGTACAATGTTTCTCTTTACGAATTCTACGACCAAACGGTGCAACCGATTGTTGTGGTGGTGGCCGAAGACCGCGACGAGGGACTCAACGGTCAGGTTTCATACCGCATCGTCGAGGGCAATCATCAGCTGTTCCGCATCGACCCCGATTCAGGTAAACGATCGCACTCGGACAACCCTTTCGATTTCGTCGGCTCCTGTGCTGGATGCGGATTTGGGACCGATTAAAGTAAAAAATTCCTGTCTGCAGGCGGCATACACGTGACATCGACGCTGAGGAGAGGATCGGGCAGCTCGCATCATCTCGTAGTTTCGGCACAGGACGGCCAAGGGCTCCGGAGTGAACAGAACGCCCACGTCTACGTGTCCGTGTTGTCGGAGCGCCAGAAACCTCCGGTTTTCGTCTCTCCGCGTTACGTGTTCGCCGTTCGCGAAGACGTTGTCCCACGGAGTGTAATCGGGAACGTGATGGCAAAGACCGCGGACCAGGGTCTGCAGGGCATTCGCTACGCGATTCGTTCGGGGAACGAAGAAGGGTACTTCGGTATCGACGCCATTAGGGGCTTGATCTCCGTTGAGAAGCCTCTCGACTTCGAATCGGCCTCTTCGGTTCTACTCAGCGTTCAGGCGACTTCTGGAGTGCCTCTCTCGTTCGGTCATGCCCAGGTTAGTGACGACCGGGGAGCTCCAGAGCTATTTCACCGGTTCGGGATGAAGGACGATTTCATGTGTCGTGGGATTTGTCGCATCGGGAAGTTTCACGGATGGTACCTATTCCCCACAGGTGAACATCTCGATCCTGGACGTTAACGACAACAGTCCGCGTTTCGAGAGCAACTTCGTTCGCATGTCAGTGCCCGAAAATAGCAGTCTCCTGAGCCCGGTGTATTTCGTCCATGCACAAGACGCCGATTCAGGGGAAAACGGCAGAATATCCTACTCGCTAGCGGAAGAGTCGGAGAACTTCAAGGTGAGTTCATTGGTCATTCGTCAGGCATTGGCGTCTCCCTTCCATTCAAACGTTTTCCGTATACACCGTATACGTGTCGTGTTCCCTTTAGCTACCATCGTTCGACGATATGAATGAGAAATCCGAAAAAACCGCACGTCGCGTCGTAACGAATCATTCTGTGACTAAACATAATCTCTTGAATCGCGGCAGGTTAATGAACGATCCGGCGCAATAATATTGAAACGCAGCTTGGATTACGAGCTCCGCCAGCAGCATCGTTTAACGGTTATTGCCGAAGACGGCGCGACACCGGCCCGGCGGAACAACATGACTCTTCTCGTGGAGGTCCAAGACATCAACGATAACACTCCAGTGTTCGAGTACGAGTCCTATCGCATCAGCGTCGAAGAAAGCATGGAAGTCGACACCGAGTTCTTGCGTGTTACTGCTGCCGATTCTGACAGCGGCAACAACGCAAGATTGACCTACAGGTGAGTGTTGGAATCCACGGGGCTGATTTACGATTACTGAGTCGATACTGAGTTTACGGCAATGACGGATTGGAGCAATGATTCGCCCCCGGGTCTCGCTCGAAATTTGAGCTCCCCTCGATCTTTACCCTATGGCTAACGGCAAAACGATCTCACTTCGCAGACTGGTCGACAGTCCGGCAGCATCGTCGACCTTTGGGATTTACCCCAACACTGGATACGTCTATCTCCGGGAGAGTTTGGATAGAGAAACAGAAGATTCCTATACGATCCAAGTCGAGGCCGTCGACAACGGAAATCCTCCACTATCGGCGTCAACAACTGTTTTCATTGCGGTCAGCGATGCCAACGACAACGAGCCGCAGTTCGTCCGTGATATGTTCGAGTTTGCCGTCGAAGAGAACGCCGAGTCCGGACGATCCGTCGGAGAAATCCGGGCCATCGACAAGGATCTCGGCGACAACGCCGCCATCCGCTACAGTCTGTTGTCCAACATCGACGAGTTCAGCATCAATCCCATGACCGGTGAGTCGCTCAGCGTCGACTTCTCCGCGCCAGCGCACCCTCCCTCAGGAAACTCTCTTCTTATTCTCGGCCGACTTCCACCGGTAGTGTTCAATAGCTTCGATTTTCTAAGCGGGGGCCGACATTTATTCCAGGTGAGATGCACACCAAAAATCGTTTGGATCGAGAGAAGCGCTCTAATTACGAGTGCATCGTCGAAGCCCAGGACCAGGGAGCGAAACCCAAGAGCTCCCGGGTCACCGTGCGTGTCAGAGTTCTCGACAAAAACGATAACGCGCCGTTGTTCGCCGACAACCAAGAAACCTCATTCGTGCTACGCAGGGACGAGCCTGCCGGCTCGGAAGTCGGTCAGATCCGAGCTTCGGACGCCGACGAAGGCACGAACGCAGAAGTCGTCTACGAGCTCGAAGCTACCGGATTCCCAACGGACGGCGTGAAATTCTTCACCATCAACACCGACGGCCTGATCAAGACGAAGACGGAGTTGAGTCAAGGCAAACAGAAAGAATACGCGTTGCGTGTCGTGGCCAAAGATCTCGGTTCGCCGTCTCTCGAGTCAAAAGTCGACATTCGGATCACGCTCCAGGACCCGAACGACAAGCTGCTCTCGTTCTACTCGTCGACTGTGACGTTCACCGTGAAGGAAGGCGTCCTACCGGGCCATGAGATCGGAATCGTTGAAGCCGCCTACCAGGACAAGAGTCAACCATCGGCAATCCAGTACAGCATCACCAGCGGCAACGAACGGAACGTGTTCAGCATCGACCGCGTCACCGGAGTTCTGTACACGAACGTGGAGATCGATTACGAGCTCAATCCGAGCTTCGTTCTACAGGTGAGCGCGAGCGACGGCTCCGGAGCTCCGGAATCGAGAGCGTCCATCGTGACTGTGAACGTGCGCGTAGAGGACACGAACGACAATCCGCCTCGTTTCGCTTCTGACCCGATCGTATTCTCGGTCAGCGAGAACACTAGTCCGGGAAGTCTCCTGAACGCAATAACCGCTCACGACGAGGACTCCGGCCTGAACGGCCTCGTCCGTTATTCGATCATCGAGCCGAACGGCTCGGGCAAGCCGACTTTCACGATCGATCCCGTGAGCGGCGTGATCACTCTGATCGAGCCTCTGGACTATGAAAAACAGGCCCAGTACATTTTCGTGGTCGAAGCCCAGGACCAGGCCCGGGAAATCGAGCTCCGGCTCAGCAGCAAGGTCACCGTGTCGCTGCTCGTCGAAGACGAGAACGACAATGCGCCGGAAATCGTCTCGAAGCCCTACGTCCAGGTTCCCGAGGACAAGCAAGTGGACACGGTCGTGACCACGATCCTCGCCGTCGACAAGGACTCGCGGGAGAACGGTCGAATTCTCTTCAACGTCCAGGGGGGCGACACGTTCGGGAATTTCCGACTCAATGAAACCACTGGCGAGCTCATCCTGGTCAGACCCTTGGATCTCAACCAAGCGAGTGAGATCGTGCTCAACATCACCGTCAGGGACAATGGACAACCGATGCATTTCACCCATCAGAAACTCCAGATCAAGGTCCGCGACTCGAGCGATATCGCACCGCTGTTCCTACAGAAAGTCTACGAAACGAGCATCAGCGAAGGCGCAGCCGTCGGGACGGTTTTCCTACGCGTCGCGGTGCCGAACTCTACCGCGTCCGCTCACAACATCTCGTACACACTCCAGCACGAAGCGACAACGACGCCGTTCGCGATCGACGCCACGACCGGCGAACTCCGCACCACTCGACCGCTGGACCGAGAGCGAGTCGATCGTTACAACTTGACGGTTTTCGGTGACCACAACACGTATTCGGCGTCGCAGTACGATTCGGCCACCGTGATCGTCGACGTCCTGGACGTCAACGACAACGTCCCGGATTTCGGGGAGAGCTGCTACAATTTGTCCGTGCCCGAAAACCGCGAATGGTCCTTCATCCATCGGCTGCACGCGGCGGATGACGACCTCGGAGAGAACGGTGAGATCGTCTACTCGATCGAGGAGGGGAATGTCGGAAACGTTTTTAGCATCGCTCCCCTGTCGGGGAATCTGAGCTGCAAAGCTCTCGATCGGGAGAGCGCCTCGGAGTACTCTCTGGTCGTCCTGGCCCAGGATCGGGGTGCGCCCCCGAAAATCGGCCGATGCCGGCTGTGGATCACCGTCATGGATCAGAACGACAACGATCCCCAGTTCGAACACAGCGAATACAGTCCGCAAGTGAGAGAAGACGCCGAGATCGGAACCGAAGTGCTCATGGTGAACGCCCACGACATCGACGAGAAGAACAACGGGGAGGTGACCTATTCGTTGATCAACGCCACGAATTCCTTGTTCAGCATCGACAGCGAGACCGGACGCATCTACACAACCGGTCAATTCGATCGAGAGAACGAGCCGCGCTACACTCTCGAAGTCCGCGCTTCCGACCGAGGTTCCTACGAGACCCGTTCTCACTCGGCCACCGTTCACATCGCCATCACCGACGCGAACGATAACAAACCGATTTTCGTGAGGTATCCCTTCTTCGCGGAGATCAGGGCCGACGCCCAGATCGGGACCCATGTCGAGCACGTTGTCGCCGAGGACGACGACGAAGAGGGTCGCAATTCGGACATAATCTATTCGTTCAGCGAATCCGGGGTCCACAGCGACTACTTCCACATCAATCCGCACACGGGAGAAGTCACGCTCGCCAGACGTGTCCACAAATTCGAAGGGAAGGTCCTCCATCTCGAGATCGTTGCGAGCGACCAGGGCGAGCACCCGAAGAGCTCGGTGGGAGTTCTCGAGGTTCACGTCGGAACCACCTCGAACGAGCATCAGCTGCAGTTCCTGCAGGAAAGGTACACGGTGGAAATTTCCGAAAGCGCCAATTACGGCATGGAGATCCTGACCGTTCGCGCTGAGGATTATTGGAAGAACTCCCACGATATCAGCTACTCGCTCGATAGCGACTCCGATGAGTTCTCGATCAACGCTCACACCGGAGTGATTCGCGTGAACAATTCTCTAAAGCTCGACTACGAGCACCAGCAGAGTGTTTCGGCCATAATAATCGCCAAGAGCGTCCGCAGCGGCGAGCCGCGTTACGGTTACGCTCGGCTCGAGGTGAACCTGCGCAACGAAAACGACAACGCCCCCCGCTTCTCGCAGAGTTCCTACGAGGCGTCGGTTTACGAAGGCAGACGACGCGGCGAATCGGTCGTCCAGGTCTCGGCCATAGACGAGGACGGCGAGGATCAGCGGCTATTCTTCCAGATTATCGACGGCAATCACGACAACGCCTTCACGATCGATCCTCCTTCGAGTGGGATCATCAAGACGAACACCGTACTCGATCGTGAAATTCGAGAGAACTACGTCCTGATCGTCACAGCCTCCGACGAAATGTCGCCGCCGTTAAGCGGCACGACAACGGTGCTCATCACGATCGTCGACATAAACGACAATCAGCCCGTTTTTCCGGCCAGCGATCCCGTCAGGGTCCGGGAGGACTGCAAAGTCGGGAGCATTGTGACCACGGTCGAAGCGAACGACGTCGACACTTTCCCACCTCTCGTGTACAGTTTGAAGACCGGCGAGAGCAACTTCAACGTCGACGCGTTCACCGGCGCCATTACGCTATCGAAGCCGCTCGATTTCGAAACGCAGAACAACTACTCGGTGACTGTCATGGTCACGGACGGCGCGCATACCGCCGAGACCACGCTCACGATCGACGTCTTGGACGTCAACGACAGGACGCCGATATTTTCCTCGACGTCGTACAGCGTCGTCTTGAACGGTCACCAAGCGACGAAACTCCTGACCGTTGCGGCCACGGACGCGGACTCCGGCGATAACGGGCGCGTGAAGTATTCGCTGGAACCTCCGTCTGAACTCGTCAAAATCGATGAATGGAGCGGTCAGCTGTTCCTGAGAGACGAAATCTCGTTGCGGAAAAGCTTCGTGTCCTATTCGAACGTGATCGTTCGGGATCTCGGCTCTCCCGCCCGGCAAGCCTCCGTTCCTCTGAGGATCCAAGCGTCGAGTCTCGCGAAGAAGCCTTACAGTTTCTCCGAAAAGAACTACACGATCCAGATATCCGAGTCCGCACCGATCGGAGCCCAGGTTTTCAACCTGACGAAAGAAGATTCGGCCCGTGCGACGTCCGACCTGAAACTCTCGTACGAGATTTTCGCCGGGAACGAGGGCGGCAACTTCGTCGTCGACTTCAACAGCGGCACTGTTTTCCTCGCCAAGAAGCTCGACCGTGAGCTACGAAACCACTACGAGCTCAAGCTCGTCGCGTATCCTTTCCGCCAGCAGACGTCGGTGAATGTTTCGACGGTCGTTCACATCGAGGTAGTTGACGTGAACGACAGTCCTCCGGTGTTCATCAAGAACCGCTACGAGATCTCGCTGTCCGAGTACACGAAGGTCGGCACCAGCGTCCTGAGCGTGGTGGCCGAGGACAGGGATTGCGACAGCGAGGTCAACTACGACATCACGTCCGGCAACGAGTTGAATCACTTCGCCATTGACAAGCTGGACGGGAGCATTTTCCTCCTGAAAGAACTCGACTTCGATCGTGCCGGCGAGTTCAAATTCATCGTTCGGGCGACGGACACCAAGAACTACGTGCTCGCATCGTTGGTAGGGGTCACGATCAAGGTCAAGGACGAAAACGATAATCCGCCCGTGTTCCCGGTGACACGCTATAACGAGTCGATTCCCGAGGCGTCACCGATCGGGACGGTGATATTCACCGCGCGAGCGAACGACAGGGACAGGGGCCATTTCGGGACCTTGAATTATACGATCCTGGAAGGCGAGGCGAGAGAAAAGTTCTCCATCGACCCGAGGAGCGGGCTCGTATCGAGCAACATTGTTTTCGATTACGAGAGTAAGAAACACCACTATTTCACGATCGCGGCCACCGACGCCGGCGGCAAAACCGCCCACGTCCAAGTACAGGTGGACATTATCGGCAAGGACGAATACCCGCCAGAGTTCCTCAAACCGGTCTACCACTTCACCGTTCCTGGAAACGCTCCGATCGGCTATTCGGTCGGCCGAGTCGAGGCCACCGACATCGATAGTGGTCAGGACGGCGTAGTCACCTACTGGATGCACTACCCGAACTACAACTTCAACGTCAATTCCACTACGGGCGTAATTTACGTAGTGAAGCCCATGGGGTCGAACGAACGAGTCATTGAGCTCACTCTGAGCATTGAGGCCGGCACCGGCCGAACTGCTTCGTCGACGAGCGTGACAACCGCGCAGTTGACGATAGACTTTTCCCTGAACGCCAGCATCAAGTCCGAGGGCGTCAATGACGGCTCCGTCATGGGCTGGGTTGTTGCTATACTTCTGACTTTCGTAATACTGGTCCTGCTTAGTCTCCTGCTCTTCTCCAAGTTCCGCACTATCTCGAAGGATGCCAAGCCCGACTCCGCCATGAGTCATGCCGATGTCTGCAGATATCCGAACCTGACGTATCCGCCGCACTACAACGAGATCTCTCACTACGACACCCCCGACGAAGCGCATATGACGAGCACCTACGACAAGCGTTGTGTGTCCAGCCGGAGTGGGGACGAAGACGAAGAGATCCGTATGATTAACGAGGGACGCATGTTGCCGAACAGCCATGCCCATCCCGCGAACGGCAACCAGCACAACCTCCACCACCACCACCATCATCACCACCACCACCACCACGACAACAACAGCAACGACGGTGGCGGGAGTGGTAACGGCACGGGCGTCATCACCGCACAAAATACTCAGGAGTATCTCGCACGACTCGGTATCTATAATACGGGCTCGGAGAAGAGCACAACGGGAGACTACGCCAAGATCGAGGGCGGAGACTGCGACGGTCTATCGAATATCATCTACGAGAAACTCGACGATTTAGATGACCAAGCGGTCCCGGGCCGAAACAGCTCGAGGAAGTATCGACCGCCCGCCGGCTCCCTGAATTCTATTGTCCACAGCGAAGAAGAAATCGGAGGCTCTTACAACTGGGATTACTTGAACGATTGGAGTCCTCAATATCATAAGCTGCCGAAAGTCTTCGCTGAAATGACGAAAACAAGCGATAAAGTCGATCATCCCGGCTTTCCGATGGCGGCTCTAAGTTCCGCAAGTTCATCGAATGGATCTCGACGAAGTGTCATACTGGAACGCCTACCACCAACTCATCAAAGGCCTCCTCCCCCACCGCCAACTTGCGTTTCGAGATGAACGCTCGACGTGCGTGCGACCACCACGCACCACCTTGTGAACGGCAGCCGATGGCAATTGTGATCAATCACAAAGCCGGTACGGAAAAATTTTCGGGAATCGTCCGTACCTGAATATCGTGAGGTTCATGTTCCTTCATGACTTTTGTTAGGTAGCTCTATCTATTCTCGATCGACGTTACGAGCAATGTCGACGCGTAAGCAACGACTCGGATGAAGCCTCTGACCGATTACCGTCGAGTCTCACGGGGGAAGGGCGCGATCGGAATATACTCTTCTGTAGATAAATGTAAAAATCAAAGCGTAGTCAGCGGAGAAGCGGATGAATGTTGCGAATGTGTATGCTACGAGGACTTATTGTTCAAATAATTATACCGGAAGAGAACTGATGACCGGAGTTCCAGATCATGTGAGCTGGATGCGAGAAAGAGCGGCAGTCGTGCCTTCCACAAACGGCATATAATAATCCGAATAGAGGAACACTCTCACGGTGAAGTGTTCCAAAATCGAACGCACAAGCATAGTAGCAGGAACTAGATGCAGAATCAAGTACTCGCGTCAATTTAGAGCTGAAACATTCCTTTCAAGCAGGCTCATGACGGTAGGAGACAATTTTGATTATGTGACAGGACATCTCTTGTAGATTTGGAGCGGAGAAATAAAGCAATCTAGATCACGATGAGAGACATATGTGTGTATTACGTTCCGGGGGTTGCTCCTCTTCTGATTCCTGCATAGTTTTCTCAAGTTGGGACAGGGAATGCGGAGGATCGTATATAGATAGATAGATGGATAGATAGCGAGAAAGGAGAAGGCGGAACCCTGGCTCCATCACAATCGAGCAGCCAAGAAGTCACCCGCGAGGATATACGAATGAATCAGGAAAAATCATTCTCAAAGACTGCCGTCATGATCCGAACATAAGAAGATATGAAGCGACGAACATGGCAGACGTGTCGCATGGAATTGACATCATAACCCGATCCTAACCCGCTATGGCTAGTTGCGACAGGCGGGGGAGTGTAGCTTCAGGTCGATTTCAGGTCGATGGCGATTGAATGACCTATGAGAGACTTGGATGGAGTGTCCGGAAAGTCGGAAAAATAAATTTTCCCCCTCACGGCCATCATGAGAGAACCATGGAGCGAAGAGGGTCACAGGTAGCATGTTCGCATCGCCGGCTACTCGATCATCCGGGAACTCTCGTCGATTTGATAATCACGGGGAATCATGGTGTCCAGCGTTCATGGTGCCGAGTGATTTTAGCCCCCTGATGGCATTTCAATCTGTAAACAGCTCATCTCAATACGAGGACCGTCGTAGTCATTTCGAGTCCGCTCTGATTTCCAAAGGAGGCTTCTCCGCGCACTTCGGTACCGAACTCGGAGATCAGCAACGGTTGTCTCGTCAACCTGGAGTCTCCATTAGGGATCTACGCCGAATCCGTGCTGAGTGAGTGGTTTAGCGGCTTGGCGATAAAATCGAACGTTCGGGAAGAATTGCCATCTCCCGACTAGAACGACTGTGCAGCTGACGTTGTTGCTCGTGATATCTTGGCTATTGAGTTTCGTCGCCGCTGTGATAACCCGCGAGCGGAACATCTTCGATTCCCGGCGCGACCAGATCTCTTCCCTGTTCTCAGTCGTGCGCGGTAGGCTGCAACTTCTTGAGTCTCTTCCGAAATTATTCGTTCTCCATCGGGATCCTTGCGCATCACGGATTAGTCACCGTGGACCCTCATCGATCTTCAGGATCCTCGAATTCAATTGTGGTGTTTACTCGTTGTTCGGAAAACGCCCATTCACCTTAACGCTTATCATTCATGATATCCACGGCAATGGATAGGGAGCGAGGACTGCTATTGGAGGGAATTCGAGTGAAATATCATCATTGCCTCCTGTTAGGCGGAGCCGACCACCCTTCATCCCCCGAGGACTGGCAAGAGCAAACATTGTCAACCGTGAGCTCCGCCGATGGGCACCAGCAGACGCGACACGCGACGTGGTACGGCATTGACGAGCCGCTTGCGTGATGATTCCGCGCCGCTGCTGCGACTGGCGAGTGAGAGAGGCCTCAGTGCGGACGACGTTCGATATTGTAGGGGAGGCGAGCATTCGAGATCGCGCTGTTCCATTCGGGAACCACAACTCAATCTAGTTTCAGCTTAGATGATGTAAGTCTACGAAAACTAATCTGTTCGTTCGTAGAGAATCACACGGAGCTCGCGGTATCCACAGTTCCTACGCTGAAGGTCACCACTCAAGACTCGAGTTCGCGCCGACAATCGGTTCGCGCGACCGAAGCCCATGCGACACAAAACTCAGTCGTTGAGCCTCACGGCATCGCTTGCCTCCGTGCAGCGAATTCCTCGATCAGCTGCCAGACTTTACCCCGGAGAAAGAAGTTTATTCACTGAAGCAGCGTAGGAGAGGTGTACCACTACACTCGCGGAAAAACAGAAAATAGCCCTCATGCGATAAGTCCATCAAATTCAGCCACCCGTCGCTCTTCCAGATGTCTTGATCCTGGTGGAAATCGATGAGTGTACTCCAGCTCAGTGGTCTCTACCGAAGGGCATCACGGGTGCAACTTCGCGTTCTCAGCAGGTGGAGTTGCAGCTTTGGAAGAGTCGGCGAAGATGACGCGAAATCGATACGCGCGAAGGTACGGAACCGATAGGATCAGTGCGACCACATAGTTACGTACCATGATATCTTATGCCGGGAAATATCCTTGGATTCCCTCCCGCGGGAATCCATAACTTCCTCCTCTCCCCTGATTTCCCACAGAGCAGGACGTGAGCGCTCTCCAATTTTACAGGCGAAGGATATCAAGACCCCCAGGCTGGAGAAATTCGTCTTAGCAATGCCGAGAACTTTCCAACCCTACCTCCGTTTAATTCGCTTCGAACGTCCCGTGGGAACATGGCTGACCTTACTTCCCGGTTTATGGAGTCTCACGATGGCCACGCCGGCGGGACAACTCCCGGATTTGCACTTGATCGCACTGTTCGGCGGTGGCGCGTTCTTAATGAGGGGGTTCGGTTGCACAATCAACGATATGTGGGACAAAGACATAGACAAAAAAGTTGAGCGAACCAGAGCACGACCTCTAGCCTCTGGTGAGCTCTCAAGGTGGGACGCCCTGTGGTTTTCGGCTGGGCAAGCTGGAATGGCCTGCCTCATTCTGCTACAGCTCAACTGGGAGAGGTTCGTAGAATATTCGAAAGCATAGAAGTCTGACCAGTCCTGGATCAGCGCCACGATTCTTTCCAACATTCAGTTTCGCTTTCCAGCGTCCAACTCGGCGCCGCCTCAGTCGGACTTGTTGTTCTGTATCCGCTGATGAAGAGATTCACCTACTGGCCGCAGGCTTTCTTAGCCGTTGTATTCAACTGGGGTGTTCTTCTGGGTTTTTCCGCTGTGCAGGTGAGTTCTGACTCTTCTACACGGACTTTAGAGTTTACGAAAATCACACTACGGGAAAAATGGAACACGACGATTCTAATTATTCTCTCAGGCTTCCGCTATGAACTGGGCAGCGGCCCTGCCCTTGTATGCCGCGGCCTTCTCGTGGACAATGGTCTACGATACAATATACGCACATCAGGTGAGCGGAACTGGATAACTATTATGATCATATGATGCGATCCATAAAGCTGCTCCAGGCGACGCGTTCCCGGATACCATCTGTTTCCCTCCGCTCCAGGACAAACATGACGATCTCATGATCGGAGCGAAGTCAACGGCACTCAAGTTCGGCTCCAGAACTCCCCTGTGGTTGGGTGCGTTCACGACCTCAATGACAACGAACCTCTTGCTAGCGGGAGTGAATAGTGGGCAGACTTGGCCGTATTACTCGGCAGTCGCCCTCGCGGCAGCGCGAATTCTACAGCAGGTACGTAGCAAGAGCGATCGCTTTGAAGGCTCGCAGCTCATTGAAAAGCTGTACAGTCATATCGCCAATTTCATGTCCGCAGTTGTACACCCTGGACACATCGAATCCTGAAGATTGCGCCAAGAAGTTTGTATCAAACAAGAACGTCGGTCTTCTCATTTGGGGCGGCTGCATAGCCGGAACTCTCCTGAAGACCGCCTGAGTTGATGATTATTATCGAGAACAGACGGATCTCCTCCCTCTACAACGAAGACTCACCAGCGAGAGCAGCGACTGCGGATCGTGTGATTCTTTTGTTACGTTTTGTTGTATTTTCTATTGTGATAAGTGATAAGAGAAGCGCAGACGCCGGAATAGATTCCCAAAGCTTGAATTAGGCACGGACGGGAATCTTGAATCGCCCGTTTTAATTTATGAAAATCTGGTGAAAGAAATCTTAGTTATTTTGAATAAAGTCTATTGATTTTATTTATTGCGATAGATCTCTTCATGTGAAAAACAAAGCTTCCATCAGGCGAAAATGACCCGCCGGTTTCCACAGACGCCGTCATATCGAAGCTCGATTTTTTAACCACCGGAAATCCGAGGGCACGTCAGATGACCCAGAAAGGAAGCAGGTGCTTCGGACTCTTTCTGTGCTCAACCCGTCCCTCGGATTCTTTAACCTCATCCTCCTGGTGCGCAAGGAGGTGCACCGGGGCCCCCATCCGTTCCTAACCCCGCGATCCTCCTCCGAGGTGGAGCTCTCCCGCCCCTATCATTGCTCAATCCCCCTGCTTGTCGAGTCTGGGGTCGTGCCGTTCCTCCGAAGAGCGTTCTGGATGAGACAATAGGAGTGAGAACGAATTGAGGATGTTCAGGCAATATGAATTATCGCGAAAGAAACCATCGATGATGAATGGTGTACGTACCTGAAGAACATTTGAATTCCCTCCACAAATCCATAAATAAAATCTATCACGGTGGCCAAGAACGGCCTGTGTTCTACGACTTCGCCCCCTGGAAAGATGACAAGAATTAGTTCCATCCCGAAGACAGACCCCTCCGTGAAAGTCATGAATGAAAAATGTCAGAGACATTGAAATCATCACGTAGCAGGAAACGAAAATTGATAGAGTGCGGAAACGTTCCCCCTTAGCGGCCGTCCAGTGAGGGACTCGTCTTCGAAAACAAGGCCACATCTTGGCTCCGATGCCCGTGTCATGTGGATCGGATCCAGTCGACCAAGTTTTGTACACGTCGTTCTATGTACGGTACAGAGCCATCTATCTCAGAAGCGCTGACTGTTCGACTCTTTCCTCCCCCCTAGCAAGTTTTCCACTTACGCGAATTTATGTACACCATGCTTGCCTCCCTGGATTTCTTCACCGAATCATGTATCGCAGAGGGAAACTTTCTTCTCGAGATGAAGTGCGTTCGAGGATTCTCTTATATGACAGGGCACAACAACAATGCTTATGGTCTATGCGAAACGAATGAACGCGTTGCGGAGTTGACCGAGTGACGATCGAGCTCGACGTTGTCTCGAGGGAATGCGAAAAGGTCGAACCCAAGCCGAAATAGGCGTATGCAACCCCGACTTTCGGTCATACAAAGGAGCACATCCGCTCTCTCCGAGGGCGTACGTGGGTTTGTTTCTAGTCAAGCGCGAAATCTGCTAAAATGGGTTCTGCTCTCGTTTGTAAACAACAGCAGAGGTAGAGAGAGCGGCGAGTGGTCGGCAGTCGGCAGTCAGCAGAATATTATGAATTCGCCGCTGAAAGGGAGTGAATAGGTGGCGAGTGATGATTATCCACCCCTCGAAAACGGGCAGAAGGAGTTAACCAAACAGAGAAATCCTAGACGACCGAGTTCCAGATGACAGTGGCGATTTCTCCCTGAAACGGCGACCCGGTCAGCGCGACGTTCATGAGAAGGCTTATCATTGACGTGTGAGTAGAGCGCTGGAAACCAACGTCGTTGGTTTCGCCGTTTTGTCTCCGTTATTCCTGCCATGCTGTTCGCCGAGTGTCAATATGAGCATCAGCTGGAGTGCGATTTTCGGCGATCAGTCCCCTGAATCTGACGCTTCTCCCGAGTTTGGTAGAGAGAAAATCCCGGAGTTTTTTTTGTCGTTCTTCTTGAGCAGATTGACTCTGCGGAATTGATCATCAGGAGCGGCAGGTTCGCAGCAAAGGCTGGCCGACTGCGCAACTCCATCGAGAGAGTTCGTCGCGAGATCAATCGGCGCTCACCGGCGAGATCTCACAAGTCTCAGAACACCGTATTTCTCCGAATCGAAAGGCATGCGCCACAACTCCTCCAGCCTCGTGCGGAATCTGTCAAATTGGAGAATGCCCTTCATTTATTGGATGAGAGCAGAAAATAACTCCTTCGATGAGAGCAGAAAATACCGGATTTTTCGAGCTTGGTCGGGAGGAGTCGCGGAGAAAACACCGTTCTCAGCGGGAGGTGGACATAGAAGCATGCTCACGTGTTTCAGTGATCACTATCCTATATACCTCACGACTTTCCTGTGTACGCGATTTCTCATCCCGATCGACGGCTGCCTTCTTAGGCCCCTCTATTTTCCAGAGCCCTCAGAAGGTGTCCTTCGACTAGTTGAGCATGTCGATTTAATTAGAGGAATATGGGACCAACTTCTGAAGACCCTTCAAGCCGCAGAGCGAAAATCGATGCCTTCTGTCAACCTCGTGCTCGAAGCCTGAGAGTCTCGGTCTTTCATAATCTGAGTGCTGATGCCTTCTCCTATCAAGGGCATATGGTGAATCAGTCGTCAGCTGCCACCGAAGTGACCAGTCCCGGTCAATATCGCTGGTATGCGCTGCGAAAGAGCGTTCAGCCTTGCGCGAAAAACCTATAGTGAATTCGCTGACGATAAGACTCCAGATGTTTAGCACCGCGCGGAAGATTTAAACACAGACAGCTTTGCCTGTGCGTAGCTAGCACAGTCTGCCTCCAAGTGTTCATGAAGAGATCTGGCGAGCTGAGACAGTATTCTCTGTGACTCACTCATACTCAGTGATTTCAGTTAACTCTGGCGTCGAGTCGAGCCGGGAACACAAATCACGCGACTGAGGCTAGACTTGGAGACGAACGAAGGCGTCATGATGACGGAAAATTGGGGAGCATCAGCTCTCGGCAAAAGTAAATTCTACACGCAAAATTCTTCCCTGACGAGGTGAGTATCGGGAGGCGACTCGCGACAACATCTGCTTGAGGAATCTACCCCACAAATGGGGGAGTCGTTTCACCGGGCCTATAATCAGGATCCTCGCGATGGATTTTTAGCGATCCCGTGATGACTTCCCGTGGGAAAGCACGCGCACAAGTATTCGAAGACCTCTTGGCTTGCAACGAGATAGATGTAACAGCTTTACGGAAGGCATGTTTCCACGGAATCCCCGACAGACCCGGAGTACGACCATTGTGCTGGAAAATTCTTCTCGGTAAGAACGACGGGATCATCTCAATCAGGCAACATGGGCTTGATAACGGGCTCCCCATGTATATCGATATTCACATTGTTATAAGAAATGCCTGAACGAGTCGCACTCTTGAACTGCGATCGGGAAACGAATGAGTGGGAACCAGCTCATAATGGAGTCGTTCCATTTTGAAAAACCGAGATCGTCGAGGGGCAACCAACGCGAACAGCTCAAAGACGAAACCAACGGAGCGCGACAAGCCCGTTTCGAAATATTTCACTTCCAGGTTATCTCAGCGGTGACAAGGCTCAATGGCCAACGTATCTCGAACAACAACGTCAGCTGTACAGTCGTTTTGTTCAGGAGATGGTAATTCTTTCTGGGCGTACGATTCTATTGACAATCAGTCCAAACACGTAGCATGTTTCCCATGAGAACACTGAATGAAGAAGATCCCGGGCTGATGACAAAACCCTTGCAGGTCATCGAGTCCGGCACTGGTGGTGAAACCGCAGAGGACCATCCCTTGAACATGAATCCTGACTCGAAATGGCAGAGTTACTTCAAAGACAACGACGTGCTCTTACAAATTGACAAAGACGTCCGAAGGCTCTGCCCCGATATCTCTTTCTTCCAGCAGCCCACTTCCTATCCATGCAAGAAAATCGTCGACGATCCTCTTGTGAGCTGTTGCACCGCTGCATCGCAATCATTTTCTGTCGGAGATTCGAACCGGAGGAGGAGGAATTAATTTGGAATCGATCTCCAGGTAGATTCCCTACGCGAGAGGGTCGCGAGGACGGTTCTTCGATCCGGAGCCGTTCAGCGCAGTCGAACCGGTCTGACAAACGTATCGCTATTCAAAAAAATTGCGACCGAAGAATACTCTGCGCTCCCAAACGGCCAGGAAGCGCACTGGGAGGTCAGTCCGATCTGTCAATAATCAAGAAAGCTACCTCTTCTGAGGAGAAGTCCGCTATCTGCTGCTCGTATGAAATCCTCGCCTAATCATCTCGCCTTATTTTTAAGGTTGTTGAGCGGATACTCTTCATCTATGCAAAACTCAATCCCGGTCTCAGCTACGTACAAGTGCGTGAACCTGGGATAGACTCTCTTGGCCGTCGGAAGCAGAACAGGCTCTTTATTCCCGAGACCACTGGATTTCCGCAATATCCCATGAGATATGATTAGATGAGATATCGCTCCTAAGGATATCGGCTTCCAGGGTATGAACGAAATCATCGGCCCCATTTACTACACATTTGCGAACGATGCTGATCAGGACGTGAAGGAGTTCGCCGAAGCCGATGCATTCTTCTGCTTCACGCAACTGATGTCAGCAATGCGAGATTTTTTCCTCAACACGATGGATAACACCGTAAGTGTGCTGCGCTCTTGCTCGCGGGATCGAATATTGGTTTCAGTCTGAAGGTCGCCTTACAACCTATACGTAGAGGGGGGGGGAGTTTTTTTTGGCATATCCCCGGATTCATGATTTTTTACCGTCAAATCTACAGGTGAGCGGAATCGGCGCCATGATGAATCGGTTCATGAACCAGCTACGAGATCTCGACCCGGAGTTGCATCACAGATTGAACGCGCAGGACATAAAGCCGCAATTTTATGCCTTCCGATGGATCACGCTATTACTCAGTCAAGTACGTGCTTCCCCCCAATAGAGCATTTTCATGGTGATCGTACGATCAGGGGTCCGGGAAATGTATTTGAAAACGGAGTTAATCCCGAGATAAACTGGTCTCACGGACGAACCTCACGCGCCTTCCAGGAGTTTTCGCTCCCGGAAGTGGTACGACTCTGGGACTCGATCTTCGCGATGAATGAGCGCTTGGACTTCAAGTTCCTCCTGTCAACTTGCTGCGCCATGGTGATTCTGATTCGGGACAGGCTGCTGGAAGGTGATTTTGCGCACAACATGAAACTTTTACAGAACTTTCCTCACGATGAGATGGAAGGTTCCACAATCGATCGCATCTTGGTCAAAGCTCTCTGTCTCAACGATAGCTCCCCGTCTGAAAGATAGTCCATCTAAACATCTCATTGCTAAGATTCGACAATCATTGCCACGGCTCCACCGGGTTTACCGAAAGGAGCCTATTTGCAGCGAGTTACTCCGTAGTAGTTTGAAATCCATTCGGTCGGATGGAGCCGCGGTCGAGATCGCCCGGGCGACCTCGAGAAGCGCGGGAACGACCTCGCTACTTCAGTGTACAATTCCCGCAGTAATGACATCTTTCTATGGACATGGTGATCGTTTTCCAAATTCTGAGTTGTATTATTAAACGAGAGCAGGCGTTGGATATTATAGGATCTGAAACGAGTATTTCGGTGAGTCCGATCCGCACAATAGTTGACGGGCTCTGAGAAAGAGCGAACATATCGTTTGACCTGTGGCCTTCATTAAATTCCGGGAGTTCACCACGAAAGTATTCGATCGTTGAAGAGATTCGCGCGGATATTTTGAAATCTTCCTTAATGTCTCAGCGCTGTACAGACAGTCTGGACTCCTAGGTGCATATCGAAAATGCGTCATAGTCCTCTAAAAATGTAAATAAAATGTATAATTCTTGAAATGATCGTCCCTCGAAGAAACTCCGATAGTTCTTCCAGCACGGAGCCTATCCTCGTGAGACCGAACGAAGGAGAGAAAGCGTCCCACCGCATTCTGCGGAAGTAAAGCCCTAACCAATGGCGGAGCAGAAGTTCAAGGTACTCTCGCTTCCGGTGTGCGAGATTTTTGACTCAGCGAAGCCCTCGTCACCGGCTCTAATTCTGTTGCGAGACTCCATGTCGAGAAGAGATGAAGTTCTCTGACCCTCCGAAACCTTACTTTCGATTACAGACTGCCCGTCTATTCCCGTTCGCCAGCGAGAGAATCGGGTCCGATTGCTCAAATTCTTGGCACGCAATATTGAATAAATCAAGCAAATGCCGAAACCACATCACAGACTCTCACAGACGTAGTGCGAAAGAGGTTTTCCGCACTTAGCGATTCACGACTCGGGTGACTGAATTCCTTCGCTTGGAGAGTGCCCTCTCTCCACGGACTGCCAGTCCATGTCTTCCATCCTCCAAACACGAGCCCTTCATTCGAGACTGTCCAGACTTTGAAGGCTTCCCCTGTGCGCAACTCGCTTTCAGCTCTCGAACTCGCCTAGGTACGGAAAGGTCCGAGACCGAGGACCGAAACCGAGGCTATGCATCCGCACCCGGGGCCGCAAGACAATCCAATTTTTTTCTGACATGATATCGGAGATTCCAAGCTCGACATTGACTCATCCATGGTGCGGGGTCAGGAGAAGTCTTGCCGCTAGGGCCGTGCCGGAAACATCTGACGACGATGGATGAAAATTGTTGCAGGAGATGCTCGCGAGCCTGAGCCACCCGGTCGGGATCAGTTTCGATTTTCGTGTGCCTTTTCGAAAATGTAGGATGTTCATGCCATTTAATGCGGATCTCGTGAGCCGGCCCCCACAATATCGACTCTGTTCCGGAGCGGCGGCCCGGCATTGCGACTCACGGTGGCTCGTCTGCTTCCGGTTGTCCTTATGCTGATCGGAGAGCAAATTAAAGCGAACCACTTGGCTGTCTATCTTTAGTCCTCTGCGTGCGTTGCTCCGCTGGCTCACTTGCTGGCTCGCTGGCGGTCCGTGCGTTGGTCCGTCTCTCCGTCGGTCCGAGCGGGTCCAGTCAATTTCCTTCGTTGAACGGCCCACCGTCCCCGCCGGACCCCCTTTCGATCGACGCTCGTCCGTCCCTATTCGACTTCCTCCCGATTCCCTGTTGTGGCGCAAGACAGACGAACGGGCGGACGAAGTTGTCTGAAGGCAGTTCTTCCCGAAAGCTTCCGACGTTCACGACGATGCGATTTCTACTTGCTTTGCTCTTAATTGGAGGGCTCTGCTTCCCTCTGCTCGGATCTCATCGAGTCTCTTTTCTTCTCAAAAGAGTCGCAGCTCCTAGTCTGCCCCACGTCTGAGCCCTCGTCTCAGTTGCCCCTCGGCTGGTCCCGTCGTCGTTGTCCACCAGCGCCGTGCTTTTTAAGAAACTGGTCGGCGTGGGTGATCGTTCGATCGCCGAGGGTGTTTCCTCGTGAAATGAATGAATTCTTTGTCCGGGGCGTCCGCTTCTCCCTTGATTAGTTGCGCGAGCCTAGCAACCGAGTCCGCGATCCCGCTCGGCTCCGAGCCCAGCCGCGGGGGCAAATACCAAGGTCGGCGCCGAACGGTACCTTTCCTCACGGTTCTGAAACGGACGCGAGTCTATCGGCAAGGAGACCGCGGCCGACGGTCCCCCTCCCCCGATACCAATCGGTATCAATCTTTGCTGTTCCGGAGAAGCAAAACACGGAGTGTCAAGTCGTGTCTTTGGCATCGACCCTCGAGCGGCTGGCTCTTTTTTCGGCCGTTGTCCCCAGCCTCTCGTCACGCGGTGGTCCCTCGTCGTCCTTTGCGCCTCCTTTAAAAGTTTTCCAAAGTCTCCCTTCTCGAACCGTCGGACGGACGCTCGCTCGCTCGGTCGGGGATATTTTTAAGTGTGTGGCTTTTTTGCCTTAGCCACGGCGGAGATCCGAAGAGGAGGACAAGTAGCAATGGACGGGAACCAGGAGAAAAAAGACGTTTTCAGGGAAAGAAGCTGCTCGCTCACTCACTAAGAACGAGAAATAAAGCAGCACGGTCACTACGTACAGTTCTTCCTTTCTCAGCTGGCTAGCTCGCGCGCTCTATCGCAGTCAAGCTTCACTTGCTCGTCACCAACACCTCAGCCATATATTCCTGACCCTACCGTCGATCATCGGATCTCTTCGGTCCCTTTGTTGGAAAGCCGGCGTCTGATTATTCGGAAGCGTCTGCTGTCGATACTATCCATCATCGGGTATGGGCAGAGTTCGTCCGTCGACACTGCTCATGGCAAAAGTCGTGGTTTCCTACGATTTCCGCGATGATTCCGTTGTAACAATCTGCTTGAGCACTGTCGACCGCTCACTCCACAACCATTGAGCTCTGGATATGATCAATGATAATCTTTGTTTATCTATACGATGAGAGCCGGCCCGCCTATTAATTCATGTCGGGATCTTGGATTTTTTGCTCGGTGGAGCAGCTCGCGACGGAGTGACCCTAAAAATCTCAAAATGAGCTGCTAGTGCGAAGAAGGGGCGGGGGATTGAGGATGGGGTACAAAGGAAAGGTCGAGGAGCCATAGGAAAAAATGCATTGACTGACTACCCGGAAGAGTGGAAAATCCTACTGGAGTGTGGGGCTAAGGTGAATAATACCCACGAAAAGACCTAGGCTCTTTACCTGTGAGCAGAGAGTGGATTGTGTTCAATTCGAAGAGTTTAGGATCATACGTTGACGGGAAAACATGAGGAGGAAGGGCATTCCGTACACGGGAATCATTCTCGACCGATGATCTGCGCGTTCCTAATCGGTCGACGCTAACTCCCCCGCACATCCCGTTCGTGGAATGCCCTTCCCACACATGTCTTCCCTTCAACGTATGATCCCAAAGTCTTCAAATCCAAGGCTCTTTCTCTCCATGTTAGCCTCTCCAGCCTTAGGTTTTTTCAGTGGGTATCACTTACATGAGCCCCACACTCCAGTCGAAGTTTCCACTACGCTGGGTAGTGCGTCGATGCATTTCTTCCTTTGGCTCTTTTACCTTTTCCTCCTACTTTCCCTTCAGCCCCCATCCCCTTTTCGCACTCGCACTTCCTTTCGAGAATCATAGGGTCAGCCCTAAGCGAGCTGCTCCACCAAAAATTAAAAAACTGAGCGTAAGCTGGGAACCGGACTATGTCCTGAGACCTACGGGATAAGTGGTGAGAGGATGCAGAGGAAAAATATTTCGATTCGGATCCGGCACGGAAGAATCGAGCTGCGGGGAGGACTCTCGTAGTTCCCGCGGAACTCGCGGGTAGGCGTTTTGCGACTCATCCGAGAGTTCTGCTGCGAGGTGGTCTCTCAAGATACCAGTCTTCACAGGCGCGGATACCAGTCATGGTGCCGGCAGGCGACTTGACCCGAGAATTGGAGAACCGTGCGTCGCGCCTTAAGAGCAATCATCGAGCGACGATTTGTTTCCAAGGAGACGGATCAATTTGCGTTTTTCGCATCGCGGCCGACTGCACTCAATATAAGGCTCCGTGCTAAACAAACGGATCTTACCAATGTGAGTCCGAGGATCCTCGACGCTTAGACTTCTCGAGTGTAGGGAGAAGGTGTAGTTTGGTCTCGGGAGGAATTTTCTGCTTTTGCAACTCGCAGAAGGGAGAGGAGGTCTGGCTCCTTTCTGCACCAGGCCGAACGACGGACGGGACAGAGATTTTTTAGACGCAGGAGAACTAAGGAGTCGCTCGTTCGTTCGACCGTCGGTCGTCTTTTTTCTAAAAAGGAAGAAAGGAAGAAAAAAGAAAGAGAAGATTTCCCGATTCCTCGATTCCCTGCCTGCCTGGCTGCTCGCTCGCTCGCTCGACGGTCGGCCGGCCCGTCTCGCTGGCTGGCTGACTGGCCGACTGGCTGGTTGACTGCCTCGCGTGGTCTTCCTACTCTTGACTAGCCGGCTGGCTGACCGGCCTTCGGTGCCTTAAAACTTTCAGCTTTTTTGTGTAGAGTGCAGCGGAGAGAGCGTGAGTCGAGCGGAAAAAAGAAGAAGCGGGAGCAATGGGAAAACTTATGAAAAGAGGATCAACGAACTCGCCAGCCGGTCGCTCGCTCGCTCGGACCGACGGTCGCTTCTCCTTCGACCGAGGCCCCCCTTTGACCGGGTCCTTCGGCCCCGCCACTCGATTCAGCCCCTTCCCGCTGCCCCCTACTACCCTTCTACTCTCACGCCAAAACACCGCTTCCGCTCGCGCACGACAGAAAATGGAATGCAACGAGAAGAATGAAGGATCGCCGCTTTCCTGAGCTCAACTGTTGTCATGCCTGCCTGAGCCCATAAGCTGCCGAACGCGCGGCGGATGACAATTGAACCTGTGGCAGGAATTAAGTTGACCGAACATGCAGATCCTGGACAAAAATATATCGTGGGGTTATTCTCGCGTTTTTCGGGACATACGGCGGGAACATCCGGCCGAGAGATAATCTCTCGTCTTCCCCGCTTCCTGACACCGTCGGATTCGAGCCGGGAGGGGACAAGCTCAACGTGGAGCGAAGCGATCGGAGATCGTCGGGAAACGTTCGGCCATTTCTCATCGACACCCAATCTCTGTCCAGGCTCATCGAAAGCGATGCCGTCCAGGTCATTCAACGAGAGTCTCACTCGGTCAGTAATTTCCTCGAGTTCAGTTCAGCACTCGATACTCGGATAATTAATTCCGACCGCCAATGGAAGCAGATGTCTCCAGCTAAGGAGAAGGGAAATGATCTCACGAAGTATTGACGTTTCGATTAGGAGAAGGAGACACCGTCCTATCAGAACCAGATGCGTGCTCGAACGCAGCCGTCAAACTCGCTTGCCGCGACCCAAAACTGTGACTAACTAGCGATCCATGCTCCGGAACATGGATTTCTTCAATTGTTCGGACATCGGCTCGCCGACAAGATGTCTCGGAAGCACCTCAGTCGCCTGAGGGCGTTGCAAAAGATGCCCAACGAATGGCGGAGCGACCAAAAAAGTAAGAAAGAAAGAAAGAAAGCAGGCGACCGACCGGACGACGCATGGATGGCCGAAGGAGTTCGTTTATCACGTAGACTCCTTGGGGGTGTTTGCCAAAATCAGGACGAGAGTCTGATCAGATCCTCCGGATCCGTCCAGGTTGTTCTTTACGACGTCGGAGATGATGTACTCCTGCTTGTTGATTGCCGCTTGTAGCGCGCCAATCAACTGCATCGATTCCTCGGTAACACAGGAGCTCATCCGGTGCTCGAGGAGATGTCACTGACCAGCATTCGAGTTGCGGAGCTCGATAAGTTAGGTGACAGAAGGGAAGGTCTCCTGGCTCCGCGAATGCTCCGACCGACTTGGAGAGTTTTCCAGCTCCTCATTGCCAGCGAAAAACTTAATTCGAGCCATCGGGTCGAAGCGGATCGAAGGCCTCATTGGTAGACGAAGCTTCACGATCGTATGTATCGAGAGATCGATTTAGCAGCCATCCGAACATCTACTCAAGTTTCGATATGATAATTGGAAATCTTCGAGAAACACGCTATCCGTGCGGAGAAGCGAGCGAACTCCAAAAGTTTCGGCCGCTTGTGAGCTTTGACGCGACTTGGTTTCCCACATTAAGCCGTTTGGCGGCGATCCGCAGCCTCCGATACTCGATCGCCAAAGTGTGCCCAAGCCGGAGTCTGAGCCTAAGCGGATTGGAGCGAAGTCCTAGGGGCTTTGAGCCGCGGTCGGGCTGCGGGGCAAGAGTCTCGAGCCAAGAACTCACGAAGCTAGACGACGTTTTCGCTCTGAAATTGTCAGCTCGCGAGCGTTGCTATTTTGTTGTGCGAGCAAAAAACCAAGCTGAGAGTTCCCCTGTTAGTCGAATCCGCAATCTCCCTCCTTTGTCTACGAGGCGGGATTCCCTCGGTGGGGTCTTTGACAGAGGTGCCAACTAGATTTACGGAGAGCGTGCGAGACATCGACAACTTCGAAACGCGAGTTTGAGACTTATTGTACTTTGCAACGGCCCTTATTATTCGTGGATACTGTACGATATATTTCCCCGTAATTCTCCGTCCAGGCTCCTAACTCTGGTGGCATGGCTCAACATTTTCCTCGGACGTCCGATATCCTCCGAAAATATTGCGGACGAATTCGCGAAGCTCTGGACCCGAGTTTTCTCCTCTAGTCCGGCCGCAGTGAGAGTCGCATTGATTTCACTCGTATGATTTCTTAACTGCCGAAGGTTCTCCCTGCGGAGCACTCTATCCATCCTGGAAGAGGGACTCGATGAAGATGGGGCACCCGGGACAACCAGTGACCTTGATCCAGCGGCAAGTGCGATTGGATTTCAAGACCTCAGATCCGCGGTAGGAATGGATGAGCACGGTCGGAATGTCAGAGGAAGTCATTACTCCAAACCGTTCTGTCATTGTAGCCCGGATCCCATCGTTGTTTGAGCCCTCCTCTTCAAACAATTATATCGAGACAGCTTCGAATCTCTCAGGTTTCTGAGAGGTCGACAATTCGACGCGGGATCCCAGAAGCATATTTCTTGAAATGCCACCTAATAGTCGCAAGACTTTTGAGATAGGTAATTGAAATGAGCATTCTCTGAGAAAAATCAACACCTTCTTTCGCGATCAGGATATGAGACTTCTCGAACCCAGATAATGCACTCCGACCATGTCGAAAATTTCTCATCACGCTGAATCCCTCTACTGTCGATGTTGTGTCAGTCCCTCGTACGGCAGGCGGTCCGTCTGACGCCCTACCATTATGCGGAGCGGGTGCTCTAATCGCTCGTCTCGATCTTAAAGCCTCATAGAGACATCTAGCGGCAGAATTTCTTGTATGGCTCTGTTACAGAGAGCAAACAACGGGCGACTAATTCAAACAGTGGATGGCGAGGAATTTCAAGCCCGTCTGATTGAGGTAGGTGATACAATCTCGCTTTTCTTCTGAAGACTCGACCGAGGTTACGCGGACTCGAGAGCTTCGTCTCTCCTAATTGCTGCGTCGGCGTACCACACTGTGGAGTGATAATTGTTCGGAAAGCCTCCGAGCAGTCGAGTTAAAACCCTGTTCTTGAGTGATCATTTTGCGGCACTGCTCCACCTACGTCGCTCTTGATCGCAAGCACGGTTTCCGGAGTACCGCGCAGCTCCCGATTGACGCCTGGCATAAATCTCTCCCGCTCTCTGGCTGGAATCTACGACGCGGGGCTTCTGACAGCGACTTCTCGACGGATTCCGTAGCGAGTCGACTCAAAACTCCGGATCGGTTCTTGCAGATGGATGAGGACTACGATCGTACGACATGAAAGGAGTCTCGACCATCTTCAGATGCATGAGCCGAGTCTGACGGCAGAATGGGTGCTGAGCTCAGGTAGTCGCAGGTGGTCATCATCCCACAGGAATGGGCTTAGATATCGAGCAGTCTACGGCAATCGATGGTCGACCCGGGGTCGGTCCGGGGCCCTCGTGGCGCGCACGTGTTGTTCTACGGTGGTAAGGCTGCTGCCATCGCTATTTCCACTGGTACGACGGCCGCCGTCGTCGCTACCGTCACCGCTGCCGCCGCAGTCGCAGCTGCCGCCCTCAGTTCCCTCCTTCTCTTTGAAAACTCCCGCCTATCCCACGGGGCCTCGTCGTCCGTAGCGACGGGAGGGGCTTCTTCGGCCCGTGGCGAGCGAGTCTCTCACCCGAAAACGGAGAGTAGGCGCAGCTGCTGAGGCGGCGGTAGCGGCGGAAAGAGATAGAGAGCGAGAGAGAGAGAGCGAGCGAACGAACGAACGAGCGACCGAGCGAGCGTGGACTCGGAGTGGCGCTCGGCGCGCGACGAGCCTCCTCTCCACTTCGGAGTCCCTTGTTCATGGTCGCTCGAAAATATTAGCGATCGCTCCGACGGGCGAGCTGCGCGCTCTCCACTCTCGTGGCCAACTCAGCGTGTGTGCTTGCGTGCGTGCGTGTGTGCACTCATACTCATCCCGTGAATCGTAACTCCCACGCGAGAAATTCCGTAGAATTTCCGTGAGTCGATTCTGATTGTCGCCGCCGGGGCTGCCAAGCCGTTCTGACCGGCAATCTGTGAGTGACAAGCAGCAGCCGCAACACCTGTTCCGCGTCACTGCTACGGATCCGCGCACCCTGACCACGAAGACTATCTTCCGAGTAAACTTCGACGCTCGGCGTTATCGCTGTCATTATTTGGAATTCAACGACGGATACCGTAGACGCCGGTATACGATCCTAACGGAAACCACGACATTTGAGTAAGAACGTGAGCGAACGTGTAGGTTTGCCACGTCGTTTGCACCGGTTGTCACTTCGTATCAATCATCGACAGTGGCTTCCTGAGGGAAAAGTCGAGTCCGCCAACTCCCTCGAGCAGCCGGAACCGTACGCGCGAATCGTACGGCGGGTGGCCGTCGATACGACGTGACACTTGCGATTGGAGTCGTGGCCGCGACGAGGTTAGTAGTATTAGTTCAACAACAACAACAACAGAAGCAACAAGGAGAACAAAGCGACGAAGAAGACGACGAAGAAGAAGAAGAGGGAAAGGAAAAACCCTCGAGCCCACAGAACGACGACAACAACCCTTCGAACTGACCAGAGCCTGATAATTATGTGGAGACCGCTGCGCGCGCCTCCGTGTAGTTCATAAGCAGTCCGACGGCAATCGAAGCCCCGACAAAGACTCGCAGAGAGCGATTACAACAAGTGAAAGTGTCGACTTTCTGGTAAACGTGATTTGTGAGCGAACTATTCAAACTTCGAACTTTCTATTGAAACGCCCTCCGCACGCCACCATCTGATCGTCATCAACTCTACCTCTCACCCACCTACTTACTAGCCGCCTATCTACGATTTCATCCACCAAGAAAATCCCTGCCTCAAACATGAACATGCCGCGTTTTCGCCGAGTTGTTCGTCCAGCCTTCCGTAGTCGCCTCCATCCACTGTAGTCGTCAACCACGATCATCATCAGCCTGTCACTCACACACGTATCGGAAGCCTTCATAATCAATCAAGCAACCTCCCGATCAGGTGTCGTCGCACATAATCATTAGTATCAGCGCTATCGATCTTCAACGAATCGGCATTCCGCTTCTTCCATAGGAGAGACGTCGAGTTGTCCGTCGTCGCGAGAGCCAAACTTCTCCCGCTACCTGTATAGCATCCTGCCCGTCGAGAGATTTGGGCCATAGGGATTTTTCTCAACTCTAATCGAATCCTGAGAAGTGAACTAAGAAGAAAAGAAACATGAAGCGCGACGGAGAAGTTATCCTCGAAGTCGAATGCGGAGGAAACAAAGGCCTTTTATATCTGGGCAGACTCTGCCAGGGTTCGAAAGGACCGTGCATACTTTTCAAGGGCACTTGGCTCACCCCGAATGAGTTCCAGTACGTAAGTGGACGCGAAACTGCCAAGGACTGGAAAAGGTCCATCCGACACAGCGGCAAGTCGATGAAATTGCTGCTGGCGAAAGGGGTACTATCGGTTCACCCTCCGGTGTGCGAATGTGCCGGTTGTCGGACGCAGGACCAGCAGCAGGGCCACCCGCCCCCAACGACCCAGCTCCCCAAGACGCCCCCCGATCTTCAACATCAACATCAGCAACAACAGCAGCAGCAGCAGCAACAACACAATCTCCTCAGTACTCTGAGTCTGAACGAGCTCAACTGTCTAACTGCACGCAACACAGCGCTACAGTTGGCGGCCCAACAGCTCAAACCGCTCGCTGCTGCTGCTGCGGTCAACGCTACCAACGGATCAAAGAATTCACACGCGCCAGCCAGCCAGGTGAGTTCGGCACTTCATTTGGAAATTTCAGTGATTACACCGTCGTCGGTCGATCGATATCAGAATAATCCCCGCTGAGGCTTCCTGCAAGGAGCGAGTCGTCCGCGTAAACTCGCTTCGCAAAGAAAAATCCCACCGGCTTCGGGGAATAGCCTAAAAATTAGCGCGTTTCACAAGTTGCAACAAACTTTGCAAGAATTGGGACCGCGGTGGCTGTGGTATGGTAGGGAAAAAAGCGCTTCTCCACCGTAGGCAGTGACGGGTCGTTGACTCAGATCAAAGCATTTGACAGTGAGACAAACAGGCGAGCGAGCTTGCGCGACCGAGTGAGTGGCCAGTTGGCCGTCGAGCGAACGAACAGGCGAGCGAGTGAGTATCCGTCGACGGCTGACGATCGGTGTCGAGACCGATTCGGTCGTGCTCTGTCTGGGCCGTGTCTGCCCGTGTTGCCCTCCGTGACTCTAACCCGTCGTCGGCGCGAAGCGGTCACCGCCGTTCTCGAGGTTGCGGGTCAAAACTCCGTTGACATCGCCGACTGGGCTCTGAGAAGACGAAAGCCGTCTCGTCATCGTCGTCACGGCTCGTGAAGCGATGTTCACCGTGCGTTCCGGTTACTCAGAGAGACGGCCAAGCACCTCGTTCCTCCGTCTGGTCGTCGGTGTGACGAGCGCATCGTTCCGGCACGCGCTCGAAGTCGGGCTCTCGGTGGGTATAAACTCGCCGAACCGGGAAAGTCAATCAGATGAATTTCCGTCAAGTTCGAAAGCCGCTCTCGGCACAGAGTGAATGGTCTCAAAATATGATAAATATACATATGTTGTATATGCCGAGCCTGCGACTCATTGATGCACAGAGCCGTGGAAAAGGCTCCTCAGCTATATTGCCGTCCTGTGCCATCTCGTGACTCGAAAGCTGATGAAACTTAGTAATGAAACCGATAGGTGGTGCCGGTCGTAATGGCTCAAGTCGAGGTTGGAAAGAGAACGCGAGGAACAGCCAGAGTGGGAGCACTGCTCTCACCAGAAACGAAAGCTAGCAGAAGCAGAACAGCGAGAGCTCGCTCATGGGAATGAGAGAATGAATTTCGAGCCGGTAAGTCGTTGAGTCGTCAGGCCGAGAAACTACGAAAGAATACTCGTATGAGAAGACGAGAGAAAAATAGCGGGAAAGAAAAGAACGAGTGAATGGTGTTACCGAGGGAGTAGCATGTTCGCTGACAAACCGGTTTACCCTGCTCGACATCGAGTGAGCGACCTCCCCCACGAAACAGGCCGTTCGGAGTTACCCCCTCGACCAGCCCGCCCCGTCCCGATTCAGTCGCGTGTATTTTGAGAGAAGAGCGAAAAGCGAACGTTTTCACCTTTTATTCTCGCCAGTCGTCGGAAATTTTCGACGAGCGGCCCTGATAGCCGCTAACTAGCAGCCAGTAGTCGCTGCAACACGCCACAGATACTTCATTCACGATATGACGATTCTCGAGGCACACTCAAGCATTGCGTCATAAATCATAATCATGACTTCTGTTTCAACGGCTCGTATTTCGAAACTTGTACAGACACCCGAAAATCGCCGGCGGAGGACAACATCATTGACAAGATACTGAGGGTTCAGGGTCGGTGCTGTCTCGCTTCTTCTTCTCGGAGCAGGAGGAAAGCGAAGCACTCCGGAAAACCGACACAGGGTCTGACCGTCCACGTTCGACTATGGGCCAGAACATGCCGGACGCCGGATGAGAGGAGTTCCGAGATTGTATTCCTCGATCGCATACGACCCGATGCATCGGAAGCCGCAGGGATCCTCTTCGGATAAAGACTTGGTCGCTCTGCTCTCCTCGAAAGAGAGAATTCACGGAGCGATCGAGAGCATCTCCGGATCCCTCGGAATCCATTTGGGTATATGTAATTGTCGAAATCGGTATTTCTGGTCGCCTCGACGGCGTTGTCAAAATCTTCGGCGTTGTCCTCGTCATGGTATTCCAGCGCTTATCGTCGTCACGATGCTCGCCGCCGTTGTCGTCGTATCGAAGTCGCACCACACCACGCCCCGATGTGGTGGCAGCGGCGGCTTCGTTGCCAGTGGACCGGCAGGACCTTATCTAAAGAAGGGTGTGACCTACATATAGCCGGAGACCGATGAATGCTATAGCAGCGGCACGGCGGTAGTTTCGGTGACGGCAGTGGTAGTAGCTTCGTCGTCGTCTTCTTCTCGGACGCTCAGAAGCCGATCGAGACGTAATCAATTTATCTGTTCACCTATCAGGTTTGATACGACGACGTCAGTCGCGCGGGCGGCTGAGTTCGAGGCGGTCGGCCGAGCTAGGTAAGCGAGTTGTATCGAATCGCTGCGCACTATCAAATATGCGGGCCATCGTCTTGGCCGCAGATCGCTTGCTCCGATAAGTGTGTGTGTTGGACGGCGACGTCGTGGTCGTCGTCGGGCTGAAGCCGTTTGTCGCCGATGCCGCCGCAAAGAAGACGAAACCTAAGACGACGATGACGACGATTAGGATGAGGGGGAGAAGAGAAAGAAGAAGATCCCCATCTCATGAACGAGAGGATGAGGCATTTATTGCTTCTATCCTCCTCGTCTTGCGTTCGCCTGGCTCGCTCCCGGCCGAATGATCGACCGGCTGCTCGAATCGGCGACCTCTCTGAACTGATCTCCGGAATTTTCTCTCCCTTCGATCTCTGACCTCAATCGCGATAACTGTTCGAACGAAGGCAATAACGAATACCTCTCGGGCTCGTCGTCGCCAGTGCAAGGGGTCGGAGCATTTCGGCTAACTGTTCAACTCTGTCGAAGATTATCCTGTGATCCACTCGGATTCAACCAACTGGGTAGTCGAGCAGCCTCTGCGGCCGATGTCGCTAAAGCGAGCGCCAAGCCTCACTCAGATCTCCTGTGACGGTGCCTAATTTGCATCGCTGTGTGTACATGCGACTTGATTTAAGGTCACGAATATGCAATGTTCTGCATTAAGATTTCGTTGACGAACCAACGAACGGACGAACTTAGCCCACAACAGTTTCGGCTACTCTTGACTCCATCAGAAAAGAATAGCCTCAAGGCTCGCGGTTGGCTCGTCTTTCTCGCGTAGGAGATAGATAGCAAGCTAGCTAGCTAGCTAGGTTAGTTCGACTCCGTTGGTCAGAGTCATAGTGGTGGCTATTTTAATTAAGAGAAGAGAAAATCTCACTTAAGCAAGCGAGCGAGCGAGCCAGCAAGCGACCGACCGACCTACCCTGCAACCGAGTAAGCTTCCGCATGACCGGACAGTTCGCTCCTCATCTTCACACCTGGACATTCACTCAGGAGGACTTGGCCCGAGCTCGAACTCCTGTCGCTTTCCGTCTCACCCTAGCTCATGGTGTTCACCGAGGCCTAGGTGCAGAGAGTCTTAGGAATTCCGGCGGCTTGGACCCGGTCGAGTCCGCCGAAGAAACTTCGGGCGGTGTTGCGGAGGCCGAGAACAGCCGCCGCGCCGGTCAGAATAATCGACCTCCGTCTGCGATTGGTGATAAACCGAAACTACGCCGACGCCATCCGGTTGGACCGAGAGTTGTCCCTCCGAGCTTCGAAATGCAGTCCGAAGCAAAATCTTCACGGTATCATCGTCTTCTGTAATTGGGATCGCGAGAGGGCCTCACGCGCGAGTACAGAGTCGAGAAACTCGCGAAAATCCTCAGAGGACCCCGTCATCGACATAAACGAACCGTATATAGATCAGACGCACGCAGGCACGAATGCGCGAGCGCGCGAGGACACCGGCGGAGTCACTGACACGCTGATTGATTGATGGGCAATCGACGGCCGGTCCCCATTCGTAGGGTCCGAGCGAGTTCAGAGCAGCGTCTATCAATCCATCGAACGGAGACCAATAGGTGTCACTTCAAAGCTTCCGGCTCGTTTTCCTCTCCGTCCGCCGACGGTGGCGGCGGCGGCGGAAGCGGCAGCATCGATCCCCCGAGAGACCACTTTGATAAAAAGCCTCGCATCGCGGGCAACCAATGAAAAGGGACAACAACAACGAGAACGGGGACGACACTGCAGAACAAGGCCGTTCCTTTCGACTTCTTAGAACTTGGCTCCTCAATCGCGACAGCCCCGAGCCGCGACACTCGTCAGTGGATATCGCGGGGCTGTAGTCCCGCATTATCAGCAGGTATCGACTCGTGGATCGTGTCCCCGTCGGATCGGGAGCTCCTCTCACTCGGTCTTTCCGCGGTGCGATCCGTGGATCGACTCCATTCCAATTATCGTCGACTGGTTATGGTCATAGATGCCGATGGTTCCCGTTTTCCGTCGCGCGTCACGAGGTCGAAGCGAATTCCCGGAGCGGCGATCCGCGAGCGCGAACACGATGCTTTCGCAGAGCACACAGCACAAGTCGACGATGTCGGCGGGGGAACGCGAGTCGACGATATCGTTGCGGAGGATCAATGGATAAGTTTAATCGTGGCTACATACGACCAAAGCGGTGCTCGCTCGGTCGGTCGGTCGGCCGGCCAACTGGTCGCTTGTCGAAACAGCGGGCGGTGTAATAGCTGACCCGATGTCTATTTCGGTAACCTTTTGCTGCTACTGCACGCGTGCGCGGCTGCTGTCTACACGACGATGGCCTATCATCATCAGTAGTAACCCTTTTGTGTCGTCTGGGGTGCCCCCGAAAAGACACGCGAAAGAACACACATGCCAGCATGTGAGCAAGAGTTCTGACTGGTCGTCGTCGGCGGCGGCGGCGACGACTTGGTGAGCGAGCGAGATGGCTGGCTTGCAGACTGGCTACAGGCCGAGTAGTAGACAGACCCGTCAAACAGATGCGTCATGTCATTCGATCGATGCAGAAACAAGCGAGAAATGAAAGAGAAAGATAGACATGTAGACAAAAGCTATTCAGGTGATCATGGGCGGCCGCCACGTGCCATACGCGGCGCATTTCTACATGGACAACACTTTCGAAAGCGACGGTTTCCCCTCGATAGCGACAGTAGCAGCCCTGAGCGCATCTTTCGGAAACTTCCGAGCGTGTCTCTCCGGCCGTCGCGAAGACGACTCAGTCAGTCAGACGAAGCGGGGGGTGTTCGTGCTTTTTTCGTCCATTTTCGAGGTCAAGGCGCGTAAAGCGAAAGCATCTCGATGGGGTAACGATCACTGGGCCAACAGTGGCCAGTGACATGTGATGGTGAAATTCTCACACAGATAGCAGCCTCCTGTTGTCGCCCT